TATTTATGAATAAAATACACTAAGATGGCAAAAATGCTGATAATTTTTTATGTCAGAAGATAGTTACATGAGAAAAGGGGTGGTGAGTTTGAAGGAGTTCATGGCTGATCAAGGAAAAAGATATGACCATGAGATAGCGCACTGCACGACAAGCTATTTATTGGGGCTGATGCACTGACAGCTGCATGGAGGGTGGGACCATCTCCCAAAGCAGGTGGTATTCCAGAGGCTAGTGGTGCAGGGAGCCACCAGAAGGGCAAGAGCACAAGGAAACTCACTCCTGGGAAATAGGAGAGGGTGGGGGCTTACATGTGCCTAGGAAATGTCCTGCAGCAATGTGGGTGTCTCTGGGCCAGAGCCCTCCGAAGGACAGCAGCAGCTTGGGTCCTTATAACTATAGGGTTTTATCTTATCTGGGGCTAGCAGAGATTGGGTGTAGTTTCAAGAGGTAAAGAAGGCTGTAAGTGGCTGTCATGGATTGAATTGTGTCCCCCAAAAATGTCTGTCAATTTGGCTAGGCCATGATTCCCAGTATTGTGATTGTCCAGCATTTTGTCATCTGATGTGATTTTCCTGTGTGGTGTAAATCCTATCTCTTATGATGTTGATGAGGTGGGATTGGTGGCAGTTATGTTAATGAGGCAGGACTCAATCTAAAAGATTAGGTTGTGTCTTGAGCTCATCTCTTTTGAGATATAAAAGAGAGAAGCAAGCAGAGACAAGGGGACCTCATACCACCAAGAAACAAGAGCCAGAAGAATAGCGCATCCTTTAGACCAAGATCCCTGCGCTGAGAAGCTCCTCAACCATGGGAAAATTGATGACAAGCACCTTCCCCCAAAGCCAACAGAGAGAGAAAGACTTCCCCTGGAGCTGGCACCCTGAATTCGGACTTTTAGCCTTCCAGACTGTGAGAGAATAAATTTCTCTTTGTTAAAGCCATCCACTTGTGGTATTTCTGTTGTAGCAGCACTAGATAACTAAAAGTGGCTAGAATCTGCTTATTAGGGCTATTTTTAAAACAATTGGATGTGTACTAATTTGGCACTGGTAGGCTTTTTGGACTAACAAGCCCAGCCCATTATGAAGAAATAGGGTCACTGTTAGTCAGAACCGACTCAGCAGCAACAGGTTTGGTTTTTGGTTTGAGGCCAATACACAGAAGCCATCTTTGGCTCATTTATATAACAGAGGGTCTTTATATTATTTTTTTTTCTAACTTTGTGTATGTTTTAAAGCTTCCATAATACAATTTTTTTTTTTTTTTAAAGAAACCAACGGATGGCTGTGGTGGATTAGGACATACAAGGGATGGGGTGGTGCAAGACCAAATTGGGATATCAGAGAAGGTTTCACTAAGAAGGTGACATTGGAGCAAAGATTTAAAGGAGGTAGGGGAGGGAGCTATGGGATCTCTGAGGGCAGAAGTAGAAGCTAGCACAGAGCCCTGAGTTAGGAGTGTGTCTGGCATGTTCAAGGAACAAGAAGTCCAAAGGCTGTAAAGGAATGAGCAATGGGTGAAATAGTAGGAGGTACCATCAGAAAATTAATAAGCGTGGGTAGACAGGATGTAAAATGCATGCAGGATCATATCCAACAAAAAATTCATATCTGAAATATATAAATACCGACAAACCAGTAAGAAAAAGGCAAGCAACCCAACAGAAAAATGGGCAAACACTTGAACAGGCACGGCACAGAAAAGGAATTGGCCAATAAGCATAGGAAAAGGTATTCTACTTCATTAGGCATCAGGGAAAAGCAAATTAAAACCACAATGCCATACCGTCACACACTCACAAAAAAGATAAAAATTTAAAGGCACACAATACTAGGTATTGGAGAGGTAACAGAACTCTCATATACCGCTGGTGGGTGTATAAATTGATAAAAATGGCAGTTTCTATTAAAACTAAAAATATGCATACCTTACAAACCAGCAATTCCATTTCTAGGTATATATCCAACAGAAAAGGATATATATGTTCACCAAAAGGCCTGAACAAGAATGTTTAAAGCAGCACTACGCTTAACATCTAAAAACTGAGAATCACTCAAATGTCCAGTAACAGTAAAATAAACAAATTGTATTACAGTTACACAATGGGTTACTATGTAGCATTTAGAATAACTAAGTAAACAACATATATAAATCTCCCAAAAATATTGAACAAAGCAAGTGCACATAAAAGTTTTAATACAACGTTAATTCCATTTATGTAAAGTTCAAAACCAAGCAAGCTAATCTATGCTGTAAGAAGACTGAATAGTGGTTACCTTTGTGGAGAAAGTGACTGGAAAGGGGGTGGAGAAGTGCTGGGGGCTGGTAAAGTTCTCTTTCTTAAACTGGATGCTAGGTAAATAGGTGAGTTCAATTTGTGAATAGTCACAAGTGGTATACTGATGATTTGTGCACTTTCTGCATCTAGAGTATACTTCATTAAAAACATTTTCAAAACCATGTAGGGACATCTCAGTTCCCTCCCATGAGGTATTGATGCCATGTCCAGCACCAGGACCACAATGGACTGCTGGCTTAAAAAAGAAAGAGTACAAGACTTGCTTTCTCAACCCATAGCTGCAATCTCCACAATTAACAGTGACTTTTTTTTTTCCTCTCATAACAAGTTCAGAGCTAGGCAGTCCTGGCCTAGTTGTACAGTAGCTACTCAGATTCAAGATCAAGATTCAGACCAAGGAGGGACACAGGCTCCTTCTGTCTGTCCTCTCCACCATCGTTAGTTATGTTAGCTCTTGTCCTCACACTTGTCATCTCATGGACAAGTAATGGTTGCTCCACCTCCAAGCTTCATGTCCCCAGGCAGATAGGGGGATAATGAAAAGGGGACAAAGGGGAAAGAATTTTCCTCTAGTAAGGCTTTGTCATTTTATTTAGGAAGGGAAGCCCTCCCCAGTGATTTTCACCTACATCTCATCGATCATCTACAACGGGCAGAGAGATCAAATTTATAGCTTTTACAGCTTCTATGGAAAAGCTAGGCAAAGGGGATGGGAGGAATGGAGGCTGGGAACTGCCAATCAAGCACTTCAGACTTAAGAATAAATTCAAGTCACAATACTTAATCTACATATCTCCTAAAATCCTGTGAATAACACCTTAAGCTAATTTACTTTCTGCATAAGTTGATTTCTATTTGCATACTTACTAGAGTGACTTTGTCAAAATTTTCCTCTCTATGATATATGAGGAGCTCTGATGATGCAGTGGTTAAGAGTTATGGCTGCTAACCAAAAGGTCAGCAGTTCGAATCCACTAGCAGCATCTTGGAAACCCTATGGGGCAGTTCTACCCTGTTCTATAGGGTCGCTATGAGTCAGAATCAACTCTACAGCAATGGGTTTTTTTGGGTAATACATGAACAATATTAAAACCCAACCAAAACCAAACTCATTACCATCTAGTCGATTTCGACTCATAGAGACCCTATAGGACAGAATAGAGCTGCCCCATAGGGTTTTCAAGGCCGTAAATCTTTAAGGAAGCCGACTGCCACATCTTTCTCCCAAAGAGGCTGGTGGGTTCGAACTGCCAACATTTCAGTTAACAGCCAAGCACTTAAGTACTGCACCACCAAGGTTCCTTATGAACAATATTACCCCCCCACCTTTAAAATTTTTTTTAGTCTTGATGTCAAGTGTATATGCTTTTTTTTTTTTTTTTAAATCAAAGTGAGCTAGCTGTGTAAAGGATTGAAAATACTTCTAGATGCTAAGTCAGGTAATTTGGCAAATAAGATATTTTTAGCTGCATGTTATTTCTTAAATTAGTTCCTGTAATTTTCCCCAATAGAAGAATTTCTTTGGTTGGCAAGCAACAGTACCAAAGATAATTTTACCTATCTTTCCACACGTTTTCCCTGCTTGGTATATTACGTAAATTGGAGTCAGTGCAGACGCAAAGTCAGAAAATAGGTTTTGAGTGGAGTCTTTCTTCACGAGCAGTGCTCTGTCTCCATCTAATGGACAATCTTACCTTTGCAACGTGAGCAGTGGCTCTCAAGCCTGGCTGCACTTCAGGATCACCTGGAGCTTGTAAACAATCCCAATACCCAGCTCCCTCCCCAGGACAATTAAATCCGCTCTGGGACAGAACCCAGGTGTCAGGTTTTTGGTTTTTTGTAGTCTGGTAAAATAATATACAACACAAAATTTGCCATTTTAAACGTTTTCAAGTATACATTCCAGTGGCATTAAATCACTCAGTATCATGCAACCATCACCACTATTTGTTTCTAAAACTTTCATCACTCCAAACAGAAACCCTGTATCCATTAAATAACGCCCCATTTCCTCTTCCCCTTCCCCCCACCCATGCAAACAACTAATCTACTTTCTGTCTCTATATGTTTGTCTAGATATTTCATATAAATGGGGTCATACAGTATTTGTCCTTTTGTATCTGGCTTATTTCATTTAGCATAATATTTTCAAGGTTCATCCATGTCCATCAATAGTAGAATGGATAAATTGTAATATACAATGGAATATTATATAGCAATAAAAGTGAAAAAACTATAGCTATACACATAAATAGATAAATCTGAATTAATTTTGCACAAAGTCAGGCACAAAGGATGCATATATTTTTATAATATTTCTATAATGTTCAAAGCAGGCAAAACTAATCTACATTGTTAGAAGCCAAGACAGTGATTATCTTTAGGTAACAGGAAGAGATGGTGTCTGAAAGGGGGAAGAAGGCATAGTAATATATTTCTTGCTCTTGTTGTTAGGTGTCGTTAAGCTGGTTCTCTGACTCATAGCAACCCTATGTACAACAGAACAAAACACTGCCCGGTCTTGCGCCATCCTCATAATCGTTGCTATGTTTGAGCCCATTGTTACAGCCACTGTGTCAATCCAATCTTGTTGAGGGTCTTCTTCTTTTTTACTGACCCTCTACTTTACCAAGCATGATGTCCTTCTCTGGAGACTAATCCCTCCTGATAACATGTCCTAAGTATGTGAGATGAAGTCTTGCCAACCTCACTTCCAAGGAGTACTTTGGCTGTACTTCTTCCAAGACAGACTTATTATCAATTCTGTTCCCCTCAGTTTTGACACCAGCTGTACATGCAGCACTTTTTCCTCTGACCCAAACCACCTGGAGTTAAGTCCGACCTCACAAGTAAAGGGCACAGTTCTCTAGACAACCAAGTCTGCCTAAGACCTCAGACGCCAGCCACAAGCTTGGTAGTCCCCATGACACCCTCACTTCTGACCTGTGGCTCCCACTATTTCCTCAGGTTTGATAATTTGCTAGAACGACTTACAGAACTCAGGGAAAAGCATTATACTCACGATTAGTGTTATTGCAGTAAAAAGGATACGAAAGAAGAGATGAATCGGGCGAGGTCTGGGAGAGCTCCCAATGCAGAGGCTTTCATGCTACCTCCCCTGTGCAGTGCTGTCTTTCACCAACTAGGAAGCCCACTGGAGTTTCCCTGTGTCCTGAGCCTTTATTGGGCCTCATTAAGTAAGCATGATTGATTGAACTCAACTTTCAGCTCCCTTCCCCTCTCCCGTGGTGGGGGCCTGGTCAACTCCTACACTAGAGGCAGCGCATCAGCATAAACCCTCAGGTGTGGTTCAGAGGCTTCATCAAAGGCACTTCAATCACTGGAGAAAATTCAAGGTTTTAGAGGTTATCTCCCAGGAACCAAGGTCAAAGACCAAATCCTTTGGGTAAAGTTAACTGTAAACCCAACAATCTCTCATTTGTTTTCTTTTCTATTACATATTTTAAAAATGAGTTTTACTTTTTAAAAGACTAATAATCCATGTACATATTATATCTCAAGAGTGCTTTTTTGGTGTTGTGAATGTCATTCATGGTCAAATAGGTTTTAAAATGGTCACTTAAGGACAAGGAAATTCCCAAAATTACATGGTATGTGGAGTGATAATATAGCAAACTTAAGTCTTAGTATGTAAGTTGCATTTTTGAACCACACAATGCTAGGATACTGGCCTAACTGCATTATCATTTCTCAGAAATAGCAACTCTCAATTATCATAATGCTAAGTTGGCATACAAACTGCACAGAAATTATGTATCTGAATTTAGATTCCATATAGAACCTAATTGTGGTGAGTCCATATCATGAGGCCCATTTGTTAATTGTATATGGTTTCATGTTCTTGGTATACATGGAAGGTATAAACAGAGAAAATAAAAGTGTTTGAGAACCAAAAGGCCAAACTGACCAAACTTTTAGCTAACTATAGCCAGTAAGAAATCACTTTATAATGCATGTATACTATTAGACTAGGCTACGCTAGCTCACCACCACCCATCTGTCAGTTTGTCAGATATTGGTGGCTTTTGTGTTGCTATGATGCTGGAAGCTATGCCATCAATATTTCAAATGCAGTAAAACCTTCGAAAGCCAGAAGCTGTGTGAGGCGGAAACCTGTCAGAGGAGGAAAACTCTAATATTTTCCACCAACAGAGAAGATCGAAAAGCGGTAAGACTGCACCTTGTCAAAGGCAGAGAACTTTTGAGACCCAGAAAAACAAGGCAGTCTCATTGAGTTCCAGCTCTCACAGATTTCACTGTATATCACCCATTGATGTACAGGTTTCAGCAGAGCATCCAGACTAAGACAGACTAGGAAGGAAGGCCTGGCAATCTACTTCCAAAAATCAGCCAATGAAAACCTTATAAGTTGCAACAGAATATCTTTCAATTTGCTTGCTTTGGACACGTAATCAGGAGGGATCAATTGTTGGAGAAGGACATCATGTTTGAAGTAGAGGACCATCGGCGGGGGCAAGGAAGACCCTTGGTGAGTTGGATTGGCACGATAGCTGCAATGATGGACTTGAACATGCAGGCAACCATGAGGATGATGCAGGACCAGGTCACGTTTCTTTCAGTTGAACATAAGGTTGTCACGAGTCAGAACTGACTCAATGGCAGCTATCTATCTATGCTAGCTCAAACCTTAGGTTCAGAGAGCCAAAATGAAGGCTCCTATTTATGGAAATTTAGCCTATTTGGCCATGAAATAGGGCTAAGGAGAGTCTAAAATTCTTGAATGAGTTCCACGTTTTGGGAAAGTGGAGACTTTACTGTGTCTGGGAAACTCTGAGACAGCCTTTAGATACTGGTTCAAAGGTGCTAGCCTATAATAAATAAAGGACTTTAAAGAACAAATTAGCCAGTAAGAAAAATGCTAGTCTAGTGCTCAGTCTGGTCACTCTTTTTAGGATTTGGCCAAAGCAGAAAAACTGACAGCCTCAACACTTCACAAAGTATGTGGCGAGGAAGGAAAATGTCCATCCTGATGCAACTGCAATCATTACACTTACAGCTGCAGTGTAATACTTCCATCTTCCTCCAAAATAGTGATGGGAAGAGTATCAACAACAGGGAAGCCAGGCAGTTGGGAAGTGAAAAAGAATTTGATGTGGTAGATTAGGGGAATCAGAAGACTACATTCAACTGTTCCTCCTTCTGGCTGAGATTTTAAAGGAGACTCAGGTCAGTAAGAACATTCAGCATACTGGACTGTGACTTTATAAAAATTTGGTACAAATGATGAAAAAAACCTTGTGAAATCCACAGGGACCAAACAAACAGGCTTGCTTAACCTACCTAACAATAGTAGTATTGTCCCCATCACTTCATTAAGTAAAATTAATGACACTTGTATTCCAAAGTGAACTTTAATAAAATGGTTCAGTTATTAACTTTATATTTCTAACTCATAATACCTTACAGTTCTTAAGATGCCTCCAAAACATTTTCCAAAATATGATCCCTTGCTACAAGAAAGAATGAGTGCACCTACTCTATAGCAAAAAAAGAAACTTTTTTTTTTTAAATAACGTGTGCCAGGAGTTGGAGGTTAGAAGCTAGAAGCTTTTACTTGGTATTATCAGTCTAATTTTAACTATGGTATACAGTCTGAATGGAATGGTTTCTCAGGGTGGTTTTTGAAAACTCTTTTTTTTCCCCTCTACCTTTTTATTGAGGTAAAATTTACATACAATAAAATGAATCAATTTTAAACGGACAATTTGATATTTACTAATTGTATACATTACAATGTTTCCTCTTGACCTTTGAGCCAATCTCCTGACCCCAACCTCCACTGATTTTCCTTCTTCCCTAGTTTTGCCTCTCACTGTGGCTTTCATTTGCATTTCCCTGACGACTAACGACTTTTTCATATGCATATTGACCATCTCTTCAACTCTTTACCAGATTTTTATTGGGTTGTTTGTCCTCTCATTACAGTTTTAGGAGTTTTCCACATATTTTTATATATAAGTCCTTTGTCTGATTTATATATTTGGAATATTTCCTCCCAGAGAGTGGCTTGCCTTACTGATAATCTTCTAAAGACAAGACAATTTTAAAATGGAAAAGCTTCAAATTTATCCATTTTGACAGTTAGTGACTCTTGCATTCTAAGTTTTTAAACTATCAAACTTTGAAAAGATTTTTTTATGTTTCTTCATAGAAGTTTCACAGTTTTAGCTTTTACATGAAATCTATAGTCCTTTTTGAGTTAATTTCACATGTGATGTGAAATAAGGGTTAAGGCTCAGTTTTTTTTTCCATAAGGATAATCTTGTTCTTGAACCATTTGTTGAAAAGACTATACTTTCTCCCAGTGAATTACCTTGATATTTTTGTCAAAAATTAATTGAAGTCAATGTGTGCATCTATTTCTGGACTTTCTGTTCTCTTTCATTGATCCATATGTCTATCACGAGGCCAATATCACAATGTCTTGATAATCAGTTTTATATAAGCCTTGCAATCAGGAAGGATAGTTTTATTCTTCATGTTCAGGATTATTTTAGATATTCAAGACTGTTTGCATGTACATGTAAATTTTAAAATCAGCTTGTCAGTGTTTGCCAAAAAAGTCTACTGGGATTCTGACAGGCATTGGGATCAGTGATGATACTTACAGCAAGCAGTTCAGCCTCAAATACTGAGATTCCTGTTTCACAAAAATGATCTATTCTTGAGAGCCATTTACTTGACTAAATCACTTACTCAGATATGCTTTTTTAAAAAAATTATCAGAATTCACTACTTTCTACATTAGGAACAATCAGAATAAGAAACACTGTCAAGTGGGGACATTGAGAGGTAGGCTGAGGATTGGCCACTGTACTATTTCATTAAAACTGTAAAAATAACACAACTGTAAACTCCAGAGGTTAAATTCAGGTGATTTATTGTAAACAGGATAACCCTAGCACTCCACCATACTGGCTGTGTCACATGCTCTCTCTTCCACATCAACTAGTCAAAAAGATGACTTTTTTAAAAAGTCACAGGTAACGAATAACTTAGTTTAACTGTTTCACAAATCTCATTTACTAAGCATTGAGTAAACAGCAGTACCCGGGGTAGTCTGTTATTGCTCATGGACTGCAGCTTGGACCCTTTTAAATGAATCCATTAGTATGCCTGAGTGATCCAAAGGTAGCTCTAGATCCAATTTGGACACTGGAAAATGCTGGAGCAGACTGAACAACAATCACAGGTTCCTGGAAGACTACATGAGATGCCTTTCAGCTCTCAAGTGCCTTTCTCATAAAAATGACACTGTTAAATTTCGCCCATTAAAAAACAAGCTCAAAGTTACTCAATAGCACGTACTTTTCCACAGAAAAGGTAGGTGGGTTTTTGTTTATTCTTACAGTGGTAGATTTAAACACTCTGGACTAATTTTAGATTTCTCTTGTATATATTTGCAGTTTGATGAAAAGCTGCATAGTCTACAAACACATAAAACCAGAAGGAAGTGATGACTCATACCTTCTGATGAGTAAAGACAGGCTTCACAAGAGGAGGCTCTGAAAGCAGGGGTAAAAAGACGGTTACAGCACCACATTGATCTGACAGTAGAAACGGAGCCCCGCTTTCAAAAGCAGCCTCCGGAGTTGTGATTATATCATTCTTGCCCCAAATTTAGATTATCTGGAAAAGACAAGTGTAAAAACTTAAGATGTGAAAAAATATGACTCTACAGAAAGAAGTTCTGGCAAATCAATTCAGATGGAGGTAAAATGTCATTTGAAAATGCAATTCTTTACTTTGCCTGAGTTAGTGGACACTGGGGCCACTTACAAGTGCCTGTATGTGGAAGTATACTCACAATTTCTCTTAAAGCAAGTTTTAATAACAGTAAATATTTTAAAATAGTTGTTAAATCTACAGTGACAATTTTACCTGAAATAGAATCTCATGAAAAAAACATTTTTTAGAAGTCCACTCCAGTCATCATGTGTGTTTGTATGTTTATATTTTCAAAAAATAAGATAACACTTAAGGCAAGATTAGACTAGTAGCAACAAGGGATTTTAGAGTCTTTTGGAAACCACGCTATTTTAAGACTCCAAGGTTTTCTTTTTTTATACTTCCCAAAAGGTGGCTTTGTAGTTGTTGCCTTTTAAATTCACAATGGGGCAAAATATTTTAGTTCATACACCGACTGCAATTTCATGGAAGTAAAAAGTTAAGGGTGTTGACCACAGCTGATGTTGGAAAAGCATGTCACACACTCAGCAGGATCTGAAGGTGACCCTATTTGTACTTGTTCAATAAATACAACAGCATGTTGATGAGAAAAAGTAAAACTGATGGAACACTGCAAACCAACTATGAATACGAGAATGTCAACATAATTCAATCAGAAAGAAACAACCCACAATAATCCTGAGAAATTCAGTTTGGGACAAAATTGATGTGAGTATTTCTAGCACTCTAAATAAGTAGGATGTTCTAGGTTTTTCCAGCATTTTACTAGTTTATATATAAAACATGTTTAAATTTTATAAAAAGATTAAAACCATGCCTTCTATAATCAGCGATTTCACTAATAAAAGGTTACGTTACTGTGTTCATTATCTGCCAAATGTAATGTTCTCCACTGATTTACATGAAATTTTCAAATAGAAAGCAAATTTGAGGATCGATTTTTTAAAAGGTATCACCTTTCTAATGTTTTGAAGCCTTCTCAGTCAATCTCAGAGGCTTAAAAAAAAAAAATCTAACTTTTCTTCTGACAAGTGACTATTTTACAGAATAGGAAGGAAGATTCTATAAGAATATCATTTATCATTTTAAGCATGTTTATATAAGGGAAATTTCTCTTAGTAATGAAAAGAAAGATTTTTAAATATTTAAGAGGCATGTATTTTAAAAATATTCTACAATATTTGTAATTTAATTACTTTGGATTTTTAATATTTCTGCATAATGACATTCGATAACTTCTTTTTTTCTGTTTGTCTCTCAATGAGCCAGAAACTACTAAAGTGGCCAAGGTTGGTTTCCTAGGCCCTGGAAGACTCAGGAATGCATCCACTTGCAATTTTTCACCCGCAGGGAATCTTCAGAGTTTTGCAGCCATGAAGTTGATATGTGGTTTCACAAGGGGAAACAGTGGTAAACCACGCTTGAACTCGGTCATGTTCTGAATCACTTCAGGCTGTAAAGAAAAAAAAGTTCCCTCTTACTATATTTAACCTAAAAAGCAGAGCAGGACATCAACATATTTTTTTCTTTCTGCATACACACTAGTTTCTACGTTCTATATTCTAATCTGCTGACCTTTCTTCCTAGATCACTAGGGCCAGAGGGTCAAGGGCTGGCCTATGCAAACCTATGATGAATGTCCACAATGGGACTCTGGGCCAGAAGGAAGCATGCCAAGAACCTAGCACCAAGGTTTCAGCAGAGTGGGGAGGTATGCCTACCCAGAAAGGGCCTGGTTACACTGATAGTTTGCTCCTCCTGTAGGTAAATGACAACCTTTCTAGATGATTAAAACACTGAGGCGCTGTGGAAGGGGCTAAGAAATTTCACTGTAATACTCCAGACTGGGGACAGATATGGCTGGAGATGGCTCACTGCACTGTAACACAAATGTTTAACTAAGAAGCCAAGGCAGACAAGGGCAGAGGCTGAGTCTCTCTGCAGCTGAAAAGGGAAAGGTAGGAGGCACTGGGAGCTGTCAAGATGAATACACACCTGGGTGACCAGGCCTTCAAGGGGGACCAAAGTACAGGCTTGAACACTTGATGGCCTGAAACCTCTAGGTCATTAAGTGTCCCGAAGAACAAGCTCCTTCTAAGTAGGAAGTCCTCTAACCATGCAACCTAACATTTACATTTCTTACCTGTGGCAAGGCTGGTGCTTGTGGCAAATTTACATCATTTTGACATGGGAACTCTCCAACAGCAGGGCCTATAAGAACATGAAAGGTTTAGTGCTTTGCACTTGCTGATACTAGCACACCAGAGCGATTTTCAAAAACATCTGAACCAGGCCCAGTTCATGTGCCTCTCAGATCCTCTCACACTGCAAGCTCCCTAAGGACTTGGTTGCTTTCCTGCCTCCCATCCAGAGTGTCCCCAGTGATGGCTCATAACATTACCGTGGCTATGAAGCCCTGGCTGCAGCAGCTTCAGTGCCCAGGTATGACCTGACTGGACCCTATGGCTCTGGCCACCTGAAGGGACCCAGTAACACAACCCAGAAGGCCAGAGAGGTAACGGCTGTGGGCAAATGTTGGCCAGTAACAGGAGATAGGAAGGACCAGGCTGATAAATTGCATACCTTTCCTGTCCACATGCAGTGATTCCATACAGTCTCTTTGGAGACGTCTCACCAGCACCCAGCTGTGTTTTCTTGTGAAGCTGTGGCCAGCTCGGATTGTGCTGCCTGCTGCTGGCTCACTCCTTCACTCCCTAATGTCCCTTTTCCCTTTACTTCTGCTTCGATAGAGCAGACTCCTTCTCCAGTTCCCCTTCTCCACCCCTTTACTTTCCAGTACTCTTCAAGGCATGTGGCGATGGCAAGGGTCCATCATATGGCTCAACATGTGACTAAAAAAACATTTTAAAAAGTCAATATTCAATACTTACAAGAATCCATTTCCCTGGCAAGAACGTGGACGGATACCTTGTGTCTCCTCGGGGCATCTACTGCTAACATTTCCTGGGCAGAAAGAAGAGCAAGGTCACCCTTTTGTCCCCACTAAGAAACTTAACATGAGGTGCCTTCTTATGACTATGAAGAATCAACTATCACACAGCCAGATACAGAAAAGATGCTTACGTTATTTCATTTAAACACTACAAAGATTTGGTAAGGTAGGCAAGAATTATTCTCAACCCCGTTTTACAGAGGAGAAAACAGAGCCCAAGGAGATTAAGTGACTTGTTCAACTTCTGTGGCTACCAAGTACCTGAGCTGGGCCTAAAACCCAGTCTAGCACTCACTGGGATGCGATGTACAGGGCTGCACCTGGTGGTCTTCAGTGTCTACAGAGACAATGGCCTGAGCTTAGTCAGGCAACCACAACACTTGCTCCTCTAAGAACCTTTGCAGACTCTGTACAGGGCCCTGCTTGAAAGCTGTGTTTCCTCATCTACCAAAAGAGAAAGGAAACCAACATTTATTGAGTCCTGCCTTGCATCAGTGGAGCCCTGGTGGCACAGTGGTTAAGAGCTCAGCTGCTAACAAAAAGGTTGGCAGTTCGAATCCACCAGCCGCTCCTTGGAAACTCTATGGGGCAGTTCTACTCTGTCCTATAGGGTCACTAGGAGTCGGAATCGACTCGACAGCAACTTGCATCAGGTATACACCTTTGTTAGCTTGCTTAACTTTTTGTAAGCTAAGTACCATGACGATTCCTATTTTAGAGACACAGACTCTAAGGCAGAGAGAGGTATAGTGAGTGACTTTGTTCAGTCACAGAGCTTGTTAAGTGACAGTGTCAGAAGTGAGGTCTGCTCGCTCTCTCCCCCACACCATGCTGTTCTGAGGGATTCCCCTTGGAAAGGAGGAGTGGTAGTGTAGCAAGTAGGTGGGTCCTGTGGGAAATGTCTCCTGACTTTTTCCTAATGTAGGACCATTATCTGTTTTTTCCAAAAGACAGCTCCATCACAATTTTGGATGCCTTAACCAGAAATAAATATATTTTGTATCTTCAGATCATCAGTTAAGCCATATCAACTCAACAGTTATTTATGGAGCAGTTATTATAAACCTGGTCCTGTGTGGGTACAGACGACGACCTATGATGCTGCACAGTAGACCTAAGCACTGCACCCCGCAAGCCTTCACTGCCCCTTGTCAACCTGAGTCATTACAACAGTGGAACACCCTCCAGTTTCAGGCCATTCTCAATTTCCTGACCAACTCTGGACAATCTCCATTTTTCTAAAAAACACTGCATCTTCTTGTAGACTATGTTCTAAGAAACATTAGGGTCCTGGGAGACACTTAAAGGCATTCTGTGCAAAAAAGGTCCACGGTGAAATCAGTACTGGAAATATTTTGTCAATCAGTATTGCTTAGAACTTTTAAAATTCTAACATGCTCTGTGATTCTCCAGGAATGGGAATGGAGTATAGCCTACTCCTGAAACCCTTTTTTCTAGGTGCTCCTGTTAACATCGTGCAGAATGCTAGCATATGATGGAACAGCTAGGGAAATGGTGTTCTACATGTGGCTTGAGATTGGTAATATTCTCATTTTTCAAGACAAGAAAGAGTCAGTCTTGTAACTGCTAGCTTCACAAATTCAATAATCATGTACAACTTGTATTTCCAGTAAACAACAGAACTGTGGGAGAAAAAAAAAACTTCAGTTCTTCTGAAAACATTACAGTAAATTGCATTAGGACATTATTCTTTTTGAACACCCATAACTGATAATGCCTTAAAATGACTATCTTAGAACCCAAAAAGAGCATGGTACTTTTTGTACATAGTAACCCCCTTTTGTAGACAATTGAGAACAGATACCTCACAAAATGAAACAGTCTTAAATTATAAATAGACACAATTAAAAATTATTTGATAACACCAAGAAGGAAAACATTCTGATTTAAAGCATTAAAACCCTGGGGCTGGGTATCAATAATGAAGAGAAAACAACAATAGAGAATATTTATTAAAGACTATTTAGTGCCAAGCACTTTACATACTTCATTTCAATTAATACTCCAATTAATCTCCATTTTGTAGATAAGGAAACTGAGGCTCAGAAGCTTAAGTATCTTGGTCAGGGCACAGAGGTAGCTACTGGGTGGTGGGGTTGAGACCTGGGTCTGTTTTCAGAGGCTTATCCATGCTCTAGCTGCTGCCACACAGGTAAAGGAGCCTTAGGAGAAGCTGACGTCCCTGAGTGAGATCGGCAGCTCTAAGCAAGAGTAAGTTAGGCAACTGAATAGCCTGGTAGCACATGTGGGTCCTGGAGCACTGCTCCTGTGCCTAACTCTCTGCCCGTTACTGGCCTATTTTAGCTCTCTCCATGTATACAAAGACTACTTGGGGGTTAGACTTCAGATCAGAATTTTGTTATATGTGTGTGTATTTAAGTTTATAACTACAAAAAGAACAAGAGTGGTTTGGATGAGTCAGCCTCTTGTCTTCCTCTATACAATGCAAAGGGAGGCATGGTGTAAAGAAAATAACTGCCCAGTCACCCATTTCCACAGCCAAAATGGCTCAAATCTCCCTGCTGAAAAGGTGCATTAAAATGATGCCTTTTGTTGTCAAATTCTGAAACTATACCATTATTTTCTGCTTTTTCTTATTGTTAAGGTGTTACTGCCTATATTAACGCTTGTTTACGTACACAGAGAACAGCAATCTTGTAGCTCTGCAGAAGATCTGGGGAAAGAGGGGGTGTAAATAACTCACGGACGGTTCAAGATCACCATCTTCCCCTAGGAAACTATCAGCACCTTCAGGATAGGGATTATTTCTTTTTTCTCATATGCCCACAGAGCACCAGCAGTGGTAAATTAAATGGGTATTGGAAACCCTTACATAGGAGAAAAATGTGATTTGGCTTCACTGTACAACTAATTTCACAAAAATCATTCCAATGAGAACTGCAAGCACTGACTCTTGCACTGGAACTACAATATATACCTGGAAAATGACAGTGTAAAGTAGATCTCTCTCCAAAGGACGGGACTGAGTTTCTGATCAAAGACTTGGCTTATAATATAGACATGAGCCAGGAAAAGTGACTAGAACATTCAGGTACAATTCTAAGGCACCATGGCAATTAGAGTACAGTTTTGCCCCTTGTCCTACAAAATAGGCACAGAAGTATTTTACACAAACTAGAGGCCCCAGTCTATCATAAAGAATATACATGACACTTGAAATAAGTACAATTCTACTGCAGAATAAATTTTTATTTCTACACTTGGCATACTTATTACACATTATATATCTAACAAATATTTTGCTATCCTTCTTAGAATTTTGTTACAGGCAGGGAAAATTCAATGGTTCAGGCTTCTCTCTTCTCTTGGTAAATTTTCTCAGTGAGCACAGGCATCAAAACTGCTAAAAACTCTGAGCACAGTTCAAAGGTAAGTAATCACTTATTTAAAAAAGCAGCCACAGTGGCACCTAAATAGGTGAAGACAATTTATAGCTGTCAGAGCTTGGAAAAGAATCTGAATATCGAGTTCCTTTTTTCTCCTTTGCTCTTCCTCCCCACTAAACAAGTTCAGCAATGGTCTCTGTAGGGTGCAGGGGGGAGTGGGAGTGAAGAAACAAAAAGACTAAAGAGGTAGATCTGGAAGCCAGGAAGGGCCATCATACTCCTTGGTCCAGAGGGAGAAGAAAAGAGTCCTGGTTGAAATATGAATTGTCTACATTTTTTCTAACAGTAATATGCATTTGTATGAAAAATACTAAATCCATAAAAACACCTTTAAAAATCCAGCCTGAATGGGTTCAAAGCAGCAAGCAAACCACAACACAGACACACAATATATCCTTATCAGTCAAAATCTAAATAAATGAATTCAACTTACCTGGTAGAATTTGATGATATCTTCCTTGGTAAGTGTCTTTAAATATGCAACTTCTATATTATCTGAAAAAGTAATCACACAATGATTTACCAGTATTTCCATTTTAAGTAGCTCAGAACACTACATTAAATGAGAATATACTTCACTCCAAGACTTTTAAGTGTCCATATTTTTAAGTGTCCATCTGCTCCTGCAAGTAGTGAGGGAATAAATTCCAAGTAAAAGTAAGAGGCTGTAGTGTAGTGGGTAAGAGCCCTGGCTCTGGGGCCAGCCAGCCTGGGTTGGGTTCATATCCTGGCTCTCTGCTTATGAGCTGTTGTATCATGGGTTAGTGATTTCACCTTTTCTAAGCCTCACTGTTCTTATCTGGAAGTTGGGGATAACACATATCTAACGGGGCTGTACAGAGAACTAAAGAAAATGACATGTGATAGTAACACGATGCTAGGCACACAACCAATGCTCAATAAATGGGAGGTACTATTATCATTAATAGCAAATCCAATTGCTAGAAAAATTACAGGTGAGGAAACTGAGGCCCAAAAAAGATGACTTGGTCAGGATCTTTAGCTTCTTGGTGTCAGAATGAGAAGACAACCCATAACTTCTAGGGTAGCTCAGTGCACTCCATTGTCAATCTCTGCTCTACAAGAAAGGAGAAAAGAAGCTAAAGCAGGAGACTTCGGGAAACACAGCCCTCCCAAATCTAAAACCCAGTGACAAATCTTTGGAGATCCCTAAGGGCCACTGTTTGAACTCCTGTACCTCCATGGCAGCACTTGCCTCAGGAAGTTCAATCTGCAAATTTTACGATTTTTCAGTGTTACGGAAAATAGGTAACTACATATCTGAGCTTGACTCCTCGGGCACATTGATTAAACGTAAAAAAGTGAAATTAGATTATTAGTACATTATTGTGACATACAGATGGATACAGCTCTAGTTTAGGAGAAGAAAAAAAGATAAAGTTTCTAAAAGGAAATTGTTGTTATGCTAAATACAGGTTCTTAGAAATGCTATCCCATCTTAAACTAGTATTAAAACATCACCAATACCCACAAAATGAATAGCATTTTGTAAAATGGTCTCAATGACCTCAAATGTCACACTTATATACCATAAACGTTGGGGTCCTAATTTTACCTTACCTCTGTCAAAATTGTATTGCTGGGAGATGATTTCTCCCCAATATTTAGCACATTCTGCAGCTAGTTTCTTTGGTTTGTCTAGTCGACGAATTGCTAATGCCTGAATATGTTTTTGGAAGGCCTCTTCCGTCATGTCCTCTATGGACTTTTCCATTGTAACTAAGAAAGCTTCCACTCTGCTTTCTAGGTAGTGAGGTGGCTTTTCTGACTGGATGATAAATCGCAAGCCCTGTATGCCATTGGCTCGACGTGGTCCGCTGAAGACGATATAGCCTGAAACAAACACCAACCAGTCAGTGTCTTGGCATTTGAGACTCACGTCACATTCAATCTTTCAAAAATTATCCTGTCAGAGCAAATAAAATCTACTTTAGGGCTTTATATTATTCACCTCTGAAGAACTATTAGCAATTAATATATTCTCAGTTCCTAAGGACAGAGCAGAAGAACTCTCCGAACAGTAGAAAGTTGGAGATAACTTTCTTCTTAAAAAAAAAAAAAAAATCCCCTTTCTTTATTCAAACTCACATCTCGTAACTCCTCACTCTCTGCTAGTTAGTCCCCTTCAACTTCTGCTAAAGTTATTTCCATCTCTATGAAATGCTGGACCCATTTTCATCCCCTAACCACAGTCCTAGCTCTGTTTCTTTTCTTCTCACATCTTAGTTCCTTATGTGAACTTGGTTCTACTTCCACATTTCTTGTCAGATAATCCATTCCTGGACCAACTCTATTTAGACTACGTCTCTCTCCAGAGATCAGGCTAACCAAAGTCACACTGCCACTGTCATCTTCTGAGCCCATGTACCATGTCCCTTCAGCCCCTTTTCTAACTGAGCTCTTGCCTTGCCTCTTGCAGCTGCTGTTCCCTGAACCACCATCTCTGGCAGCTGTGGTGTCTCTGGGGTCCAATTCTCTTTTCCCTCTACACAAGCACTGTCAGCAGTTCATCTACTCTTACAGATCTACCAATACATGGGAAGATGCCCCAAATCTAGTCTTTAACCATGGACTGGATGAGTCACAATTAAGTGTAACACAGCAAAGATGGAGTTATCTTTCTTTCCAAATTCCTTCTTGCTTATTTCTAAGCCTAACTTCATCTGTGCATGTATCAAAAGATGCCCTAGACAATTGTACCACTTAATCCCAGATTCCTCATCCCCAGCCCTGTCCTCTTCTAATTAAATCACATTAGAGCAGCACTCTGGCCACCAGTAACTGCCCCCCATCAAGTTTATAGAGTTGCTTCTAACACTGATGCCTACATCAGGCCCAGAGACTCCCTGTATGCCTCAGAATACATTACTTTCCTGTTTCTCCCTACTGTTATTCCTTTTGCCTGGAATACATATCCCCACCTTCTTCTGTGGTAATTTCTACTCATCCTTCAAAACTCAGATAGCACCTAAAGCCTTCTCTCACTCTCCAGGCTAAGTAAGTCATTTATCTACGGCATAGCCTTTATACTTTGAGCATTTGGAGTCCCTGAGTGGTGCAAATGGTTAACCGAAATGTTGGAGGTTCGAGTCCACCCAGAAATGCCTGGAGATCTACTTCCGAAAAATCAGCCATGAAAGCCCTGTGGAGTATGGTTCTACATTGACTCAATGGCAAGTGGCATTTGTAGCATTTATCACCAAACCCATTGCCGTTGAGTCGATTCCAACTCATAGTGACCCCACAGGACAAAGTAGAACGGCCCACAGGGTGACCAAGGAGCATCTGGTGGATCTGAACTGCCGACCTTTCACAGTGTACTATAATTATTCCTTTACAGGTCTGCCTTGCTGTAAGCTCCTTGAGGGGAAGGACCATCCATAACTTATCCATTTTCCATGTCCAGCACCTAGTATGGTAGTTATTTAAAAAATGACAGGCACTTGGAGAGATTCAATTGTTTTTCATTGGTTTTTCACAGCCATTACTAGACCTTCAAAATTCTTTCCTCATTAATCAAACCTGCCAGGATCTCCAAGACTTTTAACAGTGTCTAAAACTCTGCCTGAAACATTCCCTCAATAAACACTGGGTACCTTCTATATGGCCCCAGTTTGGGATACAAAGATGAATAAGATAAAATCTGCCCCCAGGAACTAAAAGTTTGGTGTATCTAAGCCTCTCTGGCTGGCTGGCATTTAGTCTGTTTCCCACCTGGCCAGATATAAGTCTGCATCCTCTCCCCTAAACGTCCCCTTTATTGACATGCATGTGATATAAATAGTGCCATCTCATTAAGAATTGTTTGAATGTCCATAAGAAACTGACTGCTTATCTTTTAGAAGTGGGTACCATTAATAAGGTTTTCATAAGTCTCTGAGTAGAGCGTGCCTGAGCACAGTGCTAGGTGATTCAGAAAATGTTTTCTGAGGACAATGGTGTTTATCAGGCTCTATGGTATCCTGCTAGTCCCCGCTTCCCTCTCACCCAGCTGCTCCTTGGTACGCAGGGTGTTGAAGCAAGGCTCAGAGATGATCTGACAGAAGAGCTCCAGAAACATGTTCTCCGAGGTGCTCTGCATGTCTGTTTGGTAGTATATCTCAATGCCACAGTTATTGTGAATTTCATTCCTCTGCTGATAAACAAACCATCCTCCTAGGAAGTTTCAAAAGAAAGCAAAAAGTTAAAAGGAATCCTAATATGGTGATTTGCACTCCGTACAGCAGACCCTCAGTAAACAGCCATGGAATTTCAAGGGGAAAGAACTTTAAAAGATCCATTTTATGACTGAGCATTAATGCTAAATGTGATCCACAGTTAATAAAATGTACAATTCAGTATATGTACTAGATTAGAACTGGCTAATACATATAAGAACTTCAACAGAAATACCACCTGTGTTTTATTAACTACACACACAGGCAAATTTACCAGTTGTGCCTTTTAGCATTCTGTTTTCAATATCATTTATCCACACCCACATTAAAAGTCATTTCACGAATAGAGCAATATGTGTAAAATGCTTACTTAACTCAGCCAAACATCTTGTTTAAAGATGAGGAAACCGAGATCCTGAGAAGTGGGGATGACCTGGCCAAGGACACAAGTCGGACAGTGGAGAGCTAAGACTAAAACTCAGATCTGTTGATCAAATATTTTATCAAAGTTATGAATAGATGATCATATTTTATGAGTTGATATCTTTATTTCACGAGCAATAAATGTGGCTAGACAAATATATACAGCTTAGGATTTATTTAGTATATAATAAGTCTCACACAATTTCTCTGACATATTAGTAATGATATGTTCACTCAGTCTTATAGATAGTAATTTAGACATCAACAATAAAGGAAGGCAGAGAAGCCTAGAGTTGGATTTCACCTATTTCACTTTTCTGACCAAGTCTAAGCTTGACCAACAGTCAACTTCTGATTGTACACTGGCGGCCCTAAGAAGAAGGAGGCGAACACGGGCTCTAAGTCCCTCCCCATCCAACTTCCAGCCTTTTCATTCATACCCCAAAATGTGTTCTCCCTCACAGTGCCTGAAATTTTTTCCTTTTAAACTGTAAATGTTGTCCCACAGACAGCTAAGTTAAGGTCTGTTTAAGACATTCACAACTGATCAGTTGGCTAAATCAGAAAGATGGAGATGTACTTCAATCTCAAAAGAGCAGAACTGCTAAGTAGTTTAAACAGGCGGAGTGTTACGGATTGACTTGTGTCCCCCAAAAATATGTATTTTAAATCCTAACCTCTATGCCTGTGGTTATAATCTCATTTAGGAATGGGTTATCTTTGTTATGTTAATGAGATAGGATTAGTGTAGGGTGTGTTTTGAGTCAATCTCTTACAAAAATAAAAGGTGCAGATTTGAAAGCAGAGATGGGGAAGATAGATGCCAAGCCATGCAGAGATCTCCAAGGAACCAGGAAACAGAAACTGAAGAGACAAGGACCTTCCCCCGGACGTGATAGAGAGAGGAAACCTTCCCCTAGAGCAAGCGCCCTGAATACGGACTTCCAGCCTCCCAAATTGTGAGAAAATAAATTTGTTTGTTAAAGCCATCTACTTGTGGTATTTCTGTTATAGTAGCACTAGATAAGACAGAGAGGTTCAGAGAAACTGTGTTAGAAGTTTAGAAGAGGGATCAATTACTTCTAGTGGGGAGTTTTAGAGAAAGTTCAGGGAGTAGGTGGCTTATAAGATGGGGCTGGAAAGATAAGTAGGGTGTAGACATAGGTCCATGGGGAAGAAGGGGAAAGAGGAACACTATTTGAGGAGGATGAAATAGCTGGGGGAAAAAAAAAAACCCAGATGAGGCATGCATGGGGAATACCTAACAAGTGAGTTTGGCTAATAAAACTAATGCCTCTGATTCCCAGTCAAATAGACTCCCACCATACAGTTTTGAACAATACGGAAAATATTACTTAATAAGTTTTTATATCAAAAGAAACCATTGTTAATGTAAAAGTAACCCAACATTGCAAATCTCAATATATTAATTATCAATTCTTTATGTTAACTCTTTATAAAAATATACATGTAATGAATGCATATTGTGATCTGTACCTGTGGCTTTCCTAAAACTATTTCTGCCCAAGACTCCTATGGACTTACAATTAAATATTATGATTCCGGTTTCCAATTTTTATGAATAAATTTTATTTCATGCTTGCAGCCAATATTTCTTTAGATTTGTGTATTATTACTTCCTCACTCCCCTATAGTCAAGTGCCAGTCAATTTCAGTTATCATTCTCTTCTAAATGATTGCCTACCTCGAATTTCACCTTTCTGACTCTCCCACCAGAGGATTTTCTGGCAGAATCATCTCTAACTATATACTAACTATACTCTATATAGCAGTCAAGAAATCGAACAACGCATTGCACTGCGTAAATCTACTGCAAAAGATCTCTTTAAAGTGTTAAAAAGCAAAGATGTCACCTTGAAGACTAAGGTGTCTGACCCAAGCCATGGTGTTTTCAATCGCCTCATATGCATATGAAAGCTGGACAATGAATAAAGACAACGGAAGAATTGAAGCCTTTGAATTATGGTGTTGACAAAGAATACTGAATATACCATGGACTGCCAGAAGAACATACAAATCTGTCTGGGAAGAATACAGCCAGAATGCTCCTTAGAAGCAAGGATGGCGAAATTTCATCTTATATACTTCGGACACATTATCAGGAGAGATCAGTCCCTCAAGAAGGATGTCATGCTTGTAGAGGGTCAGCAAAAAAGAGGAAGACCCTCAATGAGATGGACTGACATAGTGGCTGCAACAATGGGCTCAAGCATAACAATGACTGTGAGGACGGTGCAGGACCGAACAGTGTTTTGTTGTGTGATACACAGTCGTTATGAGTTGGAAGCGACTCGACGACACCTAACAACAACAACTATACTTCTATACACATAGTAGAGGTTCCCCACGGATCTCTGACATCCAAATTCAACCCACCTGTAGTCACCCACAATATTATGTCAAAGTAGTCCATTCCCAAAGTTACAGCATTTCAACTTACTGTCAGGGAGTTGAACTTCTCTATACCGAACCAGCTGACTTGGAAGAAGAGGTTTGGTATGAGCATGTTCAATAAGAGTGTCTTCAACCATCTGCATAATTCCTAACGCAGCCTGGGGAGAAACATATGTCATAGCACATTACAAAAACACAAACATATCTTTTTGTGTGTGTGTTTGTGTGTGTGTTTATTGTTGTAGTTTAAGTGAAAGATTACATTTCAAGTTAGTCTCGTATACAAAAATTTATACCTACATTGTTATGTGACCCTGATTGCTCTCCCTATACTGTGACAGCACACTCCTCCTTTCCACCCGATTTCCCATGTCCATTCAACCAGCTCCTAACCCTCTCTTTCTCATCTCACCTCCAGACAGAAGCTGCCCATTTAGTCTCATGTATCTACTTGAGCTAAGAAGCACACTCTTCACGAGTATGATTTTATGTCCCACAGTCCAGTCCCATCTTTGTTTGAAGAGTTGGCCTCGGAAACTGTTTTAGTTCTGAGCTGACAGAGAGGCCAGGGGCCACGCTTTCCGGGGTTCCTCCAGTCTCAGACCGTGAAGTCTGGTTTTCTTACTAGAATTTGAGTTCTGTACCCCACCTTTCTCCTGCTCCATCAGGGAGTCTCTGTTGTGTTCCCTGTCAGTGCGGTCATTAGTGGTAGCTGGGCACCATCTAGTTCTTCTGGTCTCAGGTTGATGAAGTCTCTGGTTTATATGGCCCTTTCTGTCTCTTGGGCTAATATATTCCTTGTGTCTTTGGAGTTCTTCATTCTCCTTTACTCCAGGTGGTTGGGACCAATTGATACATCTTAGACGGCCGCTTGCAAGCTTTTAAGACCCTAGATGCCACTCACCAAAGTAGGATGCAGAATATTTTCTTAATAAGCTTTGTTATGCCAATTGACCTAGATGTCCCCTGAAAGCACAGTTCCCAGACCCTCACCCCTGCTACTCTGTCCCTCAAAGTGTTTCACTGTATTCAGGAAACTTCTTAGCTTTGGTTTAGTCCAGTTGTGCTGACTTCCCCTGTAATGTGTGCTGTCCTTCCCTTCACCTAAGATAATTCTTGTCTACTATCTAGTTAGTGAATAACCCTCACCCTCCCTCCTCACCCTCGTAACCATCAAAGAATGTTTTCTTCTGTGTTTAAACCCTTTCTTGTGTTCTTATAATAATGGCCTTATACAATATTTTTCCTTCTGTGACTGACTAAATTCACTCAGCATAATGACCTCCAGCTTCCTCCACGTTATGTTTCATGGCTTCATCGTTGTTCTTTATCGTTGCATAACAAACCTATCTTTTTGTATTTTTTGTACTTTAGATGAAGGTTTACAGAAAAAAGTAGTTTCTCATTAAACAATTAGTACACATACTGTTTTATGACATTGGTTAACCACCCCATGACATGTCAACACTCTCCCTTCTCAACCTTGAGTTCCCTATTACCAGCTTGCCTGTCCCCTCCTGCCTTCTAGTCCTTGTCCCTGGGCTGTTATGCCCCTTTAGTCTCATTTTGTTTAATGGGCCTGTCTAATCTTTGGCTGAAAGGTGAACCATGGGAGTGACTTCATTACTGAGCTAAAAGGGTGTCCGGGGGAATACAAACATATCTTTTATGCGAAAATAAAAAGTTTATTGGATGACAGTCTATGCAATATGAAAACAACATGCCTGTGAAATAAACTAGTCTAGCTGATCATAAAAATGGGTTTTCAAATCCTAGTTTAATACATTTGTTCCCATTCAAATGGGTAAAAATTGAATTTGTTAATACAGTCAATTTGCAATATAGTCAATATGGTGGTAGCAAAGAGAAGCAGGGATGCAGACAATCATCAGCACTGATCTCAATGCTGAGAAAAAGGCATTGCAAAGCTGGAGAGGTACTGGTGATGGAAAGTTGGTCCTCAATGAATGACCCCGATGGCAAACACTTGGGGTCATACCAAGTATTACATAACGAAGGAGATGAGCTTTATTTTGAGTAAAACTGATGTTGGTAAGAATCCTGTCTTCTGTCAGTTAACAGCAACTGACCTTGGGCATACTGTTTTGAAGGCAGTATAGCAGAGTGGTGGAGAGTATGGGTTCTTGAAGCAGACTGCCATGAGAACTCCAGAGTGCTTTTCATGTGCCAAGCACTTTGTATGTACTATTTAATTTAATCTTTATAATCCATGATGTAGGTGCTACTATAACTCTAACTTTATAGTTAAGGAAATTGAGCATAGACAGATTAAGACATTTTCAGATTACATTTCAAGGATGTAGCAGAGACAGAATTTGAATCCAGACTGTTTGATTCCACAGTATGCACTCTTCTATCTGCTACCCAGTCCTGCAACCTACACACAGCAGAGATCATTATTCCCATTTTCTCCTATGATTGTACAGGGCAGGCAACAGCAGAGGAGGCAGCCATGAAAATAGGTCCACAGTCAACCACCATCATTCTACTCCCCCTGAGCCCTCTCCTACCTTCCTCCATAGAACACAGAAGCCTGGTGAACTCTAATGTGCTCACGGTCTTAAGACAAACCAGGGAGAAAGCTTCTTGCATTGATCCATAAAAAAGTACTAAAACCAAACATAAAATAAGCATAACACCCACCTGCTTTGCTATGTTTCCATGAAGAAGGGCTTCAATGTGCAACCTGGACAGAAGCTGAGGTATGAAGGCCTTAAGGCGAGGGAGGGTGACATCTGTAAAGGTGTAAAAAATAGTAAGCTCTAGCTACAAGGTTGTTTTTTCCCCTTTTTATTTGAGATAATTTCAGGCTGACACTTTAGTCTCTTCCAATCCGTGACAGTTCCCTGGTCTTTCCTTGTCTTTCATGACCTTATGACTTTTGAAGAGTACTGTGCAGTTATTTTATAGAATGTCCCTAATTTGGGCCTGTCTAGCATTTTCTCATGATTAAATAGAGCTTATATATTACTAGACAGAATACCACAGAGGTGAGGTGCTTTTCTTAGTGCATCGTATCAGGGGACACATGATGTTGATGTGTTGTAGTAGTAGTACTGGTGATCTTAACATTGATCACTTGGTTAAGGTGGTATGTGCCAGATTTTGTCACTGAAAATTTACTATTTTGGTTATAACTGATTAATTCAAAATAATGTTTCATCTGTAAGAAATTCTGAAAAGCCCACCTGCCCATCGATGCCTATTTTTCCCACACTAATTAATACATACTTGTTTTAGGGGAAATAATTTGAGACTATGCAAATATCCTGCCTATCAAATTTTATCTGCTAATTTTAGCTTCCATTGGTGGATACTGCCTGTAGCAATTATTACTATGGTGCTCTAAGGTGACTTTTCTATTTTGACTTTTCTATTTCCCTCAATCCTTTTACATTTACTAATTTAATTCTTCTATAAGGAAGAGTTGCCCCTTCTCTATTAAGGCACCAGAGTAATAATTGCTACAGGCACGTTCCATCAATGGATGCTAAAATTAGTGGGTGAAATCTAAGGAGAGAAGGGGGAAGGGAATTAACTTTTTTTTTTTTTGTGGTAAAAATACATATGGTATTTGCCATTTCAACATTTCTTACATGCATAATTCAGTGACATCAATTATATTCATTATGTTGTGTAACCATCACCACTGTTTCCAAATTTTTCCATCACCTTTAACAAACTCAATGCCCTTTAAGCAATAATTCACCCCTTCCCTCGGGAATCAATCCGTAATGAGTGTTTATTATGGGTTAGGCATTTTATAGACATTATCTTATATTCTATAAAGTATGTACTATCATATCTATTTTAAAGGTGAGAAAAACTGACATCAATAAAATTTAAGTTTCTTGTCCAAAGTCATCAAGCTTTAAGTTGCAGAGCTAGGACTTGATCCTTGGTCTAATTCCAAAGAGCATACTCTTTATACTCCACCAGAGCCTTAGGGCTCCTTAGGAGCCCTCTCCACTAGGTGCCCTCAATGTTCTCGGCAGACTTCTATCACAACACTTACCCCTCTTGCTTCTATTGAGAAGATCTGTATACATTTATGCTTCCCCACTAGACTAGAGGTCCCTGACCCAAGAAACCCCAACTAATTGTTTCGTATCGTAAGCACCTGGATTCCAGTGCCTGTTCCAGAGCAACGGTCAGTAAATGCTATTGGACCACTCTGAACTCTGAGGCTCTTGCCACCTGGGCACCTGGATAGCTGATTGACTTAGAGGGTCATACAGTAGCCAGCCTGTCACACTGAGCTGTCTACAAATTAAGCTACCTTCGCATTACTGGTTTATAGTATGAGGGTATATATCAAAACAGAATGGTTATTTATTAGAGCGGTGAATTTCAACCATTAAAGTGCTGACTTTCTTTTTATTAAGCACATTTTAGGAAGGCTTCGCATGACTGTGAGATAGTATTCATTTTAGAGCTTACTCTGCTTAAAATTCACATGCCATCTGACCGAGATTCTAACAAAGGGGAAAAAACCAGATACCTCTGCTTTTTGATCAAGCTGAAAGCAGGTTCAGTTCCTTGACAACGTATTTAAAATCAATTATTTAGTATTTTTTAAAAGGGTAAAATTCTTTTAACTGTATAAAATTCTTTTTGCAAAGAAAAGTATATTAGCTATCCAGATAAAAATGCATCTGTTTGAAATATCTAGAATAGGTAAATGCACAGAGACAAAAGTTTATTAGTGGTTACAGGGGCTGGGGTGGAGGGAATGAAGAGTTATTGCTTAAGGGGTACCGAGTTTCTGTTTAGGGTGATGAAAAACTTTTGGAAATAGTAGTGTTGGTTACACAACATGACGAATGTAATTAATGTCACTGAACTGTATTATAAATGGCTAAAATGGCAATTTTTTTTACTACATTTGTTTGACAATATTTTAAAAAGAGCATTTGTTCTAGTTAATGAATTCTGTAATCTATACTCCTACCCAATGCCTGAGGTCACCAATTAAACAAGGATTTTTAATACTTTGCTCTTGATTTGTCACTGAAGACATCAAAAGTATAGTATTACATAATAAGGACAAGTAGGGACTTGTCATAAAAGATCATTAAAAACCCAACAGTATTCTTTTTTTAAATTGCACTTTAATTCTTATTGCTAGGCATGTAGGAAGAAAGATCCATAGGTGAAGTAATGCTGGGAAGTGAAAATGATAAAACAGTAATAAAGGGTGAAGTCAGTCTACATTCTTCCGAATAAAGTAACCCTGAAAGTTATCTCATTTCATTCCATAGATATTCATCAGATACACACTGGGGCATAATATTACACTAGGTACTAAATGAAGAAGACATAATCACTACCCTCAAGGAGTTTAGGACTTCCAGTCAAAACTCCTAAAAACTAGATTTAAGGAAATAGGAAAAAAAAGCAAGAAAAGACCATTCCTTAGGCTTTACACATTTTCCAGTTTTTTATTTTTTCCCATACAAAAATTTATACATACATCGTTATGTGACCCTAATTGCTCTCCCATACTGTGACAGCACACTCCTCCTTTCCACCTCTGATTCCCCATGTCCATTCAACCAGCTCTTAATCCTCTCTGCCTTCCCATCTCACCTCCGGACAGAAGCTGCCCATTTAGTCTCTTGTATCTACTTGAGCTAAGAGGCACACTCCTCACGAGTATCACTTAATGTCCCATAGTCCGGTTCAATCCCTGTCTGAAGAGTTGGCCTTGGAAACTGTTTTAGTTCTGGGCTGATAGACCATCTGGGGGCCATGCTTTCTGGGGTTCCTCCAGTCTCAGTCAGACCATTAAGTCTGGTCTTCTTACTAGAATTCGAGTTCTGCATCCCACCTTTCTCCTGCTCCATCCGGGACTCTCAGTTGTGTTCCCAGTCAGGGCAATCATTGGTGGTAGCTGGCCACCATCTAGTTCTTCTGGTCTCAGGCTGATGAAGTCTCTGGTTTATGTGGCCCTTTCTGTCCCTTGGGCTACTACTTTCCTTGTGTCTTTGGTGTTCTTCATTCTCCTTTACTCCAGGTGGTTGGGACCAAGTGATGCATCTTAGATGGCCGCTTGCAAGCTTTTAAGACCCCTGACGGCACTCACTGAAGTAGGATGCAGAACATTTTCTTAATAAGCTTTGTTATGCCAGTTGACCTAGATGTCCCCTGAAAGCACAGTCCCCAGGCCCCTACCCCTGCTACTCTGTCCCTCAAAGTGTTTCACTGTATTCAGGAAACTTCTTAGCTTTGGTTTAGTCCAGTTGTGCTGACTTCCCCTGTAGTGAATGCTGTCCTTCCCTTCACCTAAGATAATTCTTACCTACTGTCTAGTTAGTAAATAACCCTCAACCTGCCTCCCCACCCTTGTAACCATTAAAGAATGTTTTCTTCTATGTTTAAACCTTTTCTTGAGTTCTTATAATAGCAGTCTTATACAATATTTGTCCTTCTGTGACTGACTAAATTCACTCAGCATAATGACCCCCAGCTTCCTCCATGTTATAAGGTGTTTCACGGTTTCATCATTGTTCTTTATCGTTGCATAGTATTCCATTGTGTGGATATACCATAATTTGTTTATCCATTCGTCCATTGACGGACACCTAGGTTGCTTCCATCTTTTTGCTATTGTGAACAGTGCTGCAATGAACGTGGGTGTACATATATCTATTCGTGTGATGGCTCTTATTTCTCTAGGATATATTCCAAGGAGAGGATAGCTGGATCGTATGGTACTTCTATTTCTAGCTTTTTAATGAAGCACCAAATCGATCTCCAAAGTGGTTGAACCATTTTACATTCCCACCAACAGTGTATAAGTCTCTCCACAACCTCTCCAGCATTTATTATTTTGTGTTTTTTGGATTAATGCTAGCCTTGTTGGAGTGAGATGATATCTCATTGTCGTTTTGATCCGCATTTCTCTAATGGCTAATTGAGCGTTTCTTCATGTGTCTGTTAGCCGCCTGAATATCTTCTTTGGCGAAGTGCCTGTTCATATCCTTTGCTCATTTTTTTAATGGGGCTATCTGTCTTTTTGTTGTTGAGGTTTTGAGGTATCGTAGATTTCAGGGATTAGACGCTGACTGGATTTGTCGTAGCTAAATTTTTTTCCCAGTCTGTGGTTTTCTTTTGACTCTTTTAGTGAAGTCTTTTGATGACCATAAGTGTTTGATTTTTAGGAGCTCCTAGTTATCTAGTCTCTCTCTTGGTGCTTGTGCATTGTTACTTATGGTTCGTATTGTGTTTATACCATGTATTAGGGCTCCTAGCATTGTCCCTATTTTTTCTTCCACGATGTTTATCATTTTCGATTTTATATTTACGTCTTTGATCCATTTTGAGTTAGTTTTTGTGTATGGTGTGAGGTATGGGTCTTGTTTCAGTTTTTTGCAGATGGATATCCAGTTATGCCAGCACCATTTGTTAAAGAGACTGTGTTTTCCCCAGTTAACGGACTTTGGGCCTTTGTCAAATATCAGCTGCTCATAGTTGAATGAATTTATGTCTGGATTCTCAATTCTGTTCCATTGGTCTATGTATCTGTTGTTTTATCAGTACCAGGCTGTTTTGACTACCGTGGTCGTATAATAGGTTCTAAAATCGGGTAGTGTGAGGCCTCCCACTTTGTTGTTCTTCTTGAGTAATGCTTTACTTATCCGGGGCCTCTTCCCTTTCCATATGAAGTTGGTGATTTTTTTCTCCATCTCATTGAAAAATGCTGTTGGAATTTGGATTGGGATTGCATTGTATCTGTAGATCATTTTGGGTAGAACTGACATTTTCACAGTGTTGCGTCTACCTATCCATGAGCAAGGTTTGTTTTTCCACTTATGCAGGTCTCTTTTGGTTTCCTGCAGTAGTGTCTTGTACTTTTCATTGTATAGGTCTTTTACGTCTCTGGTTAGATTTATTCCTAAGTATTTTATCTTCTTGGGGGCTATTGTAAATGGTATAGATTTGGTGATTTCCTCTTCAAGGTTCACTTTGTTGGTGTAAAGGAAACCAACTGATTTTCGTATGTTTATCTTGTATACTGAAACTTTGCTGAAATCTTCTATTAGTTCCAGTAGTTTTCTTCTGGATTCTTTGGGGTTTTCTGTACATAAGATCATATCATCTGCAAACAGAGATACTTTGACTTCTTCCCTACCAATCAGGATGCCCTTTATTTCTTTTTCTAGCCTAACTGCTCTGGCTAGGACCCATTTTCCGGTTTTTAACTGAACCAGACAGACCTAAAGATGCCAAAGCAGGAAAAATGCCTAAGCAGTCTTTCTGTGTGATGAAAGTTCAAACTCAGCCCATTTTTCATTTTCTGAAAACTTCAATATTAACGAGGTCGGTGCGTGGGTGAGAACACTTAGTCATCTGTAGGAATCTATGAACAATAATAAGTAAGTGTTGGGTCCACGTTGAAAATAGCAAGTGTGACTAAATTGCCTGAATGCAGAAGCCACTTCAAAGGCTACCATTGTTTTTATAAAATATATGCATACCTGGCTTCAATAGAACTATGTCATTATAAAATATTATATAAACATTATTTAAACATCTGATATTCACAAAAACTAAAGTGATTCTAGAAAAAAATGAAGACAACATTAGGCTTTTCAGTAGAAAAAGTCTCACCATCCAGGGCTTCTTTTAACTCTTCTTTAGTCCAGGCTACTTCAGTCATCAGCAAGCGGAGGTAGTACATGGCATGCTGGTGAGGCTGTTCAGCCCGAAAATTGTTAAGAGATCGCATATACTAGTGAAGAGAGACATGAGTTCATTCATTTTGTAAATTTTTTAAAATCACTTCCAAAGACCAGCTATAATCAAACTTAACATTGTATAAATTATGTGTTACTGGGATGTGGGAATATTTACTTCTTTCTGAAGAATATAACTAAGAATGAAACCTTACCCCCTCTGATACTTAAACTAAAGGGATACTTCTTCTTTATCCAACCTGCTGCTTTACCCCTAGCATCTGACATATACTTTAAGTGCTTTCACTATAGGACATCCTTCATCTCTCAGAAAGTTATCCCCAGCTCTGCAGGGTCTCCATCTTTTGTCATCCTTGGATTCTACACTATAAAGAAATTCTGAAAGTTTCTGTAGTGTTTCTAAGCAAACAGTATGGATGTGTGAGTGTGTGTGTGTGTGTGTAAAAAGACTGGACCTTCATTTCAAAACTGATGCTAATTTCTTATGGTGCACAATGAAGATCATATGTTGGTTTTAAGAGCAGCTCTCCATTGCATACTTCCATTACTGGGCCAAATGTGGGTTAAATTTAAGTGGAAGATACATCCAGCCTAAATAGTCTGCCCTAATATGACAAGGTTGTTTCATGGTAGGGCAGAACTCATTCTGCTGAATCAAATGTTCTTATGAAATGGAGGTTGGATGAAACCTTCAAGGAGTCTCTGACAGCCACTAGGTCTACCTCAAGATTCTCTCTAAAAGTCAGTTTTGCAACTGCCCTAGCTCTTGGGGCCTACAGAGAAGGGGGCCAGGTGTCTACCAGAGCCTTCTAGCTTTCTTTCTGGGTAGAATACAGGATTTTACAAAGACAGGGTAAGATGAATGCAACAGGATTATAAATGTTTCTTTTCTTGTTCTTTTTCAAAAAAATTTCATAATATGATATTACTTTGTGAATAAAAAATTATAAATTACAAAAATTAGTCCAGAAAACTTACTGCCTCTTTGATAATTTCAAATCTTTTTTCATCAATCTCAAAGGTAGCCATTTTCTCAATTATCTTCTTTAGCAAAATTGGTTGTTTGTCATTGTAACCTTTCACTGAGAGCTATAAAAAGAGATCAGGGTATTAAAGGTCTAGAAATATCATGAAACAACTTCCAGATAAACATACTAAGCTTGATTTTTAAACATCTAGAAAATCCCAAAGCCAGGTGTATTAAAATAAAAATGAAACAAATTCAATTAATTTAACTTCTCACAAATACAGTTTAACACTTAGAAAGATAACATTAACCATCTTTATTAGGTAATACCCAAAAGCATAATTTCACTTTTCCTAAACAAAATCAACAGTACGTAAACTTACCTGACACCAAACTATGGCTGCACACACATCATCATAACTGAAGTTCTTATTAAATCAAAATTACGGAATGTGTTTTATCTTCAGAAAGAACTTCCAATGAGTGGCAGACTTAAGGTTTTTATAGGTGTGGTAAAAAAAGGGGAGTGTTACCTAGCAACTACTGGATACATCCAAAATTATTTATGCTTACATATTTTAAAAATCACCCTTGGAGAAATCAGGCAGCTTCAAATGTGCATTATATGGCATTTTGACACTTTTTTCATTCAATGTTGCCCAGTAAGGATCCATACTTCTTAGCTCTGTTGATATCCCAAAAGCAAATAGCAAAAGCAGATGTACAGCAAGGATACACTGCACGCACCATCAGGATTCTGCCTTACAACAATACAGTAAGTCCCCGGGTTAAGAACGTTTGACTTACAGGCAAGTCTTACTTAAGAATGGACTGCCATAAAGCCTAAAAATTTGAGTTTACTACAATGGTTTCTAATAATAAATGTATGCGCTACTTTGTGACTCTCACGAAAACACCGCTTAGTTTGGGAGTCTTTTGGTTAGCAGCGAGTCCTTTACCACTGCGCCACCAGGGCTCCTCTATATGTATAGAAAGGTAAAATATATACTGTATACTAAGACAAACATTTGACTAACTGATGTTAAATTAGAACTGTATGTACTTGTTCTGATTTACCTACAAATTCAACCTAAAGAAAGCTTGTTCATAACCCGGGGACTCGCCCTCCTAATAGTGGATTATTAGTGCATAGAAGTTTCTGAAAGAGTAATGCTTTGAAAAGCGGGGAATGCCTGTTATTATATTTCCACACGGTGGTAGCCACAACAGTAGAGGGTATACTGTGACTAGAACACTGTGAAAGCCCCTAACCTATGAAGAATGACATACATAAACCTCAGCAGGAAGGAAGGTCACCGGCTGAGGAAAGCACAAGTACTGCAGGGATTAGACTAATAATGGAAAGCCCGTTTCATCACAAATAAAAACTCATTTATGTTAATGATCATTTGCTACTAAAAGTCAAAGGCAAAATACAGAAAATAAATTATTACTTTTTTATTTAGAGTTCATTTTGACTCTGGGCTTCAAATTTCCCAGACTCTGAGAATGGTGAGATTTATATACATTCTTATACATTAAACAAAAGCTACCAGAGGACTTATTTATGTGAAGAAAAAAAAAGTCACTGCAAAACAAAACAAAATTTAAGGCCTTTTGGATAAGAATTTTAAAAGGAGTACACAGCACATGCTCTCATTTTGATTTTTACTAAAACATACAAAATATCTTTAAGAAAAGTGAAGATGAATGTGTGCCATCAAAGCGATGTTAATTTGGAACTGAAATAATAAGCAAGCTTGGAAACATATCACAAACAGTTCGGGAGAAAAATCTAGTTATTGCTTGGGATACATTAATAATGCTTATTTTAAAACACACTTAAAAATAGTTAATGATGCATGCTACAAAATAAATAAAATGAAAACGTCAAGGGTATTCAAACACAAGAACTTCACACCACTGTCAGCAGAAATAAAGGAAGCTTATATACAAGCAAAATTCAAGCACCACAACAATAATTACGTATATCTTTCACTTACAGATGTATATTCAAATGCATGGAAAGAACAGCATGCTTTCATGATTAATATATTAAACATCTCAAGCTGAGGAACATGCAAATAAATGTAGCACACATACATGTTCACAAGGTACACTAAACTTTACTGAATCATTCATTAGTGGAACTAATACTAGTTTGAGGTCTTCAATCATTAAAAAGATTCAAGGAAAAAAACCATCAACCTTCTTGTTTAAAAATGCAGAAGTTAATAGTTTTCCCAAGCTCAACATAATGCTTAAAAGGTGTGGTGCCTTTTCTTTGTTTTTCATTTTACTTACAAGTATTGCATTCATTCCTGATGCAATGCCATAGCTCAAACCTGAGAGGCGTGCTGCATATGTATACTCTTTTAAATCATCCTTCAGTAACCTGATAAACAGGTATGTCATGTTGCAATGGAGAGGGTCAGCATAAATGTAGCGACTAACAAAAAGAAAAACAAAAGAAATGCTTTGATACCTCAAGCAGTGGCATGGTAATGAAGAAACATGACATGACTGAAGAGTATGGATATGCAGCCTCATGATCTGAACTGAATAGTACAGGCCAACCTTCCGTTTTACAAAGGTTGGAAAACTCCATTCCCTTTTGCCAGAGAGCAAGACTTCAGATATACAATGTGTGAGATCTAAACCTAAATCAGGGTCCAATTTTGTTTGGGGAGAAAAAGATGACAATCTGATGAAAGATGTTCCAAAAAAAAAGAGAGAAAGAAATCAAGGAAAATTTGAACATGAATGGTATATTGCTGAATACTTAGAATAAGGCCTAACTTAAAAATTAAATGAGAAAATATGATTAGCCATAAAGGTTAAGAAAATAAATTAAACTCATACCCTTAATCAAAAATGCTTCCATCAAATCAATATAAAAAATGTTGATGAGTGGAAGGCTCTAAGATGTGGGTACTTACATACATCCCATAGATGGTATTTTGGAGGTCATAGCTCAAGCCTGCTAGCTCTGCTGCATATGCATACTCGTTGAGTGAGTCTTTGAGGAGTTCAAGGTACAAATAGGCCATGTTACAGTGCAAGGGGTCCACATAAGCAAATGGGCTGGAAGAAAATGTTGACAGTAAAATAGCTGGTTTATAACTTCTCAATGTAATGTGGCCTTTTCAGATGGATCAAGAAGCAGAACACGGGTTAATATAATTTCCTGAGGAAACCGTTAAATTCTTAAGTCTGTTTCTTCTTCTTAGGAGGAAAAAAACAAGATGTCAGAAAAAGAAGCCTGAAACGCGCCATGTGTGCTGGCGGTAGTGAAGAGGGAGAAGGAAGTGCTTACCATAGATGGCGTGGCAGAACTAGGAAGTTAGAAATGCAGAGCAGGTCAGGAGTGGGAACAGGCCAAAATGCATGTCTAGGTTTAGGCTAATAGGAGGAGGCATGGCTGATAGAGCTGATACAGCATTTGCATGTCCTCTTTCTCCTCCAGGTAAGTCATACCCTTGGTGGACAGAAGTGTGAACTTAAAATGTTCATGTGCTGTGATTATATGGACTTGGAAGAGACCTGTAAAAATGTTAGCTTATCCTTGAGTTTACCCCCAAGCCAACAAAGCTAGAGCACTGTCAGTAAAATAACGGATAATTCCTACCATAAAACTGCAGTCAGAACTAGGAAAAAATACTAAAATACAGAAATATCTAACTGGGAAAGAGTAACAATAGAGAGGAAATAAATACAGAGTGCTAAGGCTAAATCAAGGAGCCTTGGTGGTGCAGTGGTTAAGCACTTGGCTGCTAACTAAAAGGTAGGCAGTTCTATCCCACCAGCCACTCCATGGCAGAAAGATGTGGCAGTCGGCTTCCATAAAGATTACAGTCTTAGAAGCCCTATGGGGCAATTCTACTCTGTCCTGTAGGGTCGCTATAAGTTGGAATTGACTTGACGGCAACGGGTTTGGTTTTTTTTTGGTTTAAGGCTAAATAGGACCAAAGAGATCATTTAATTTAAAATCTTCAATCCTAGATAAGAAATAATTTTCCCCATGTCACCTGGCCTGGCAGCAACCGAGTTGGGACTCAAATGCAAGTCAAACAACATACTCATCTGACTGTACGAGGCTGCTTATCTTTATCAGAATCTAGTAAGGGAGACATTTATTCATTCAACACAAATTACATGCTTACAATGCCAGGCTCTTCTCTAGGCACTGGTACTAAAGAGGGAACAAAACTGGCAAAGTCCCTGACCTCACAGAGCTTACAGTCTTTTTGGAAGACACAGATAATATAAACAAACAAATAAATTTAAATATGCTATATCAGGTAGTGATAGCGCTATGGAGAAGAAATAAGCAGGGTAGGGGAACAAGGAGTGAAGGTGTGTTGATGATGGGGAAGAAAGATTGCTAGTCTACTTAACATGGTCAATCAAAGCCTCTCTGAGAAGCTGACATTGGTTCCAGGCCTGAAGGGAGTGAGCCCTGGGGATGTCTGGAGGAAGAACTTTCCAGGCTGAGGAAACAGCTAGTGCAAAGGGCCTGAAGCAGGTACCTGCTTGTTTGGCAGCAAATTAAAAGTTTCACTCTCTCTGTAACACAGTAAATATAACTTAACGTACTGAGATCAAAGCCAACAATTGTTATCAAAGTTGATAATAAAGCAAAAATGGGGATAAAATGCTTAGCCATTTAAAAAACTAACATCAAAGAGAAAATTCTATAGCTATACAAACATTTCCACCTTGGAAATCTAAATGAATGCTCTGCCAATTAATTTTTTTAAGTATGTCATTTAATTTTTTAAACATGATCACTGGTTTCCTTCTTTAGGCAAGCAACACCTCAGAAACTTAAGGCACACCTCACAAAAGCAAAATCATCAAATTGAGAGAGCCACAACAGCCCCATGGACATCTGTGTATCTCTCCTAGGTGGAAGTGAAATGTCAGAAAAGCCAAGTCTGGGAGCTCAAAGCCATGTCGCTCAGGCGTAAAACTCTAAGAGGTGTCCTAAAATGCTACATCCAAAAAAAAAAAAAAAAAAAGAAAAGAAATGCTACATCCATGGCTCCTAGACTGGTATAACTGGAGAGGCTCCTAAGCTAACTTTTAAAAGAGAACTGGAATGCCTAAATTCTGGCTCATTTGTTAATTTTTTAAAAATCGTATTATTTTGTATAATATATACTTAAATATATAAGGTTTTAAAAACTGTAACAAAGTATACATAATATACTCCCATTGCTGAAAAATTAAAAAGGATACAGAAAGAGAGAATTTCTGTTAAGAATGTACAAGAAACCCAACAGTGGTTACCTCTAGGAAGACCAGACTACAGAGAAGGAGATTGGTGGAAGGCAGACATTTTAAACTACGTTTGGGCAGCTTAAAGAACAAAAAATTGTCAAATGATCTCTCAAAAGGTATTCTGAAGAAATTCATAACCATAAAGGCCAAACAGGAAAGTAGTGACAAGCTGTTTAGGGTGTCAAAAATACCACTCTACTGAACAGCTTTTGCCATAACCTGACAACTCATGTCTAGTGTAAAAAATTAACAACCTCAATGCAGCCCTAGATAATCCACGGATCTCAGCTATAAAACACAATGCTTACATCCCTACAATTTCAACACACTTGCTGGTGAAATACTAACTTTCCATTTAGAGATTCTTTTTTCCTTTTCCAAAATAGTTAAAACATAAAAAATAAAGCTTTAATTTCATGTCACTCCAATCTAATAAAATTCTCAATGAAAAAGTTGATAATCAGATTGAATATTATTATATCATAATGGATTTATTTCACATAAAACCACCGAATTTTAGAAATATAAAATTATAAGGTGTAAACTCAAAAGAGTAAAATTAAACTGTGTGATACACTTTTATCGCTAACATAAGCAAAAGGAGAAAGAGATGATCTGGAGATTTGCATTGAGAAATCATTGCAATGGAAGCTTTAGTCGTAAATTTTACTGAGCATCTTTTTTACTAAATCATTTTTAAGTAACCAAGCCAGGAATAGAGAAAGCAACGGTTAAGGGTTCCAGTCAATTAGAGGGCTGGAAGAGACTCAAGGTCATTTAGTAACTACTACTACCTCTTCTTCTGGGAAAGGTCCAGGAATACAAAACCAAAACAAAAAGCACCCCATATTGTTTAATCTTTCCTCAGTAAGCCTTCTAGGTGACTCTATAACCTCCTCATGTTCCAAAATCTTGAATATTTTATTCAAGATTTAGCTTTAGGAAGGTCTTCCTAATAGCTAATATAAATCATTTCAGCTGCAGAGTATACCCATCAACGGAAAGGAAGAGGAATTAAAACCTTGGCTTTTACAATATCCCTTAAGAGCAGCAGCCTTCCTCTGTCTAGGCTAAATAATTTTAATTCCATTTATTTCTAGACATGGATCCTCAAGGAAGCACAGAAACTTTTAGAATCGCTGACTTTTATAAGAAGCTTTGTAAGCTACATTCATTTTACATACCTGAAAAATTCAAAGTTGAGACAAGCCTTTGGCAAGAAAAACTTGTCATCTTGTTTGAACCAGAGTTTGCTCATAGCTGTGTCCTGTGATGGATAAATAATTTGGTTAGGAAAATATGGGCATATTCAGCAAAAATGTTCAATCAAATCACTTTTCATGAGGAGAAGGACAGAGGCAATGGTTGAGAGTTTTGTTCTGGAGAGGCTGCCATCTTATGGCATTGAAGCATACTCAGAAGGTCGCCAGGTGGAAAGATAAAGAGAAAACAGCTGATCCCAGTAGCTGAGAAAAATCATGTTTCTGTCTCCCCTGGGGAAGGGAGATGTGGGAACAGCGGGGGAAGAGACAGATCGAAGAAGCCAATACCAACTCTCCTGTCTGCCATCTTTCTGGGCACTGGAAGACGGAGGCAGAACTTAAGGTGATGTGGTAATCAGTCTCCAAGATGGCCCCCTATAATCCATGCCTCTTAAGATTCACACCCACACTGGACCAGGGTTGGTCTGTCTGACCAACAGAATATGACAGAAGTGATGGTATGAAACTTCCAAGATTAGATTATAAACAGACACTGTGGTGTCTACCTTGGTCACTCATCTTCTCTCTTGGAACACTTGTTTCATGGGAAGCCAGCTGCCATGTCAAGCAACCCTACGGAGAGGACTACATGGTGAAGAACTGACGCCTGCCAACAACCATGCAACTGAACTTGGAAGAGAATCCTCCAGTCCTGGTTGAGACTTCAGATGACTAAGGCCACAGCAGACGGCTTGACTATAACCTCATGAGACCCTGAGCCAGAACTATCCAATTATGCCACACCTGGATTCCTGACTCTCAGAAACAGTGTGAAATAATAAATGGTTGTGGTTTTAAGGAGCTAAATTTTGGTATAATTTGTTATGCAGCCATGAATAACATAAGCAAGGATGAATGAATAAGCCACTACCTTGACTATCCACTCCAGTCATACTATAATAAAAATGGACTTACATGCTCGTTTGAATCTATACTGAAACTGACAAAAGATATACAACTTGTTTAATTTTTTCCTTAGTTTATTCTGAAAGGTCTTCTTTTTAAAACTAACAATAACAACAACAAAAAAACAAAAACAGAAGTGAGCAACTTTTCTCTTTGTATAACTTTATAACTCATTAAAATGTCATTTTTAAAGACAAATGGTTGTTTCCTTAATAATCTAGCTGCCTGAGATAAATTAAATTTGATGTTCCTAAACACTGGTTTTTGTCTCACTGCATTAATCTGAATGTTAGGTCATCTGAAGAAAAGAAAAAGCAAGAAAGATGTGTCTATCTATGGTGGTGAGGGAGAACTTGCAAGAGTTTAGAAGGATATGCCACAATAATCTGATCCATTTTTCTCCACAATTAACAAAGTTGTGAAATAATAGCATGAAAAGAACATTCTGAAAAAGAAAAAGACAAAAAACTTCTCTATCATCCTTCCCACTTGCTTATAACTCCATTAATTCCATATGCCACTCTGTCATAATAAGAACTGTTTTTAAGGGCAGGAAATCGACAAGCTTCCCTTGGACATGTACTCTTCCAGGCTTTAGAGATTCTTTCTTAACTCTAATTTAAATGGTACAGCATAAATCTACTTCCTTACTGGGTCTTCAGTGGCTATGGAAAAGAGACCGCTATCTTTGAACAGACTTGTGGTTATAGCCCAGGTTTACTTTTTCTCCTGCAAAGAAAACTATCCTCTAGATTCTATGTAGGTTAATAGTTTTATTTGTTTGCTTGTTTTAACATTTTGAGCCTTCTAATATTCTTTGTGGTTATTCTTTCTGTAATTTTTCTGTTACCTCTCAGGATATGAGCCTCTAAAACCAACAAAGTACCAAATGTAAGAAACCATCTCCCTAGTCCCTTCCATGTACTAGGTCTGTACGCCCAAATTTAAAATCAATGATTCAAATATGTTACCTTAATAAGAGCAGGGTATGGTGTTGCTTCTTTTTCTAATGATAAAATCTCAAAATTTGTAGGAATAAATTCATTCTTTGTTGGAAGTTTAAATTTCCCATTCAGGTCAGCATTTTGCCATTTCTGGATAAATAATGAAAAACACACAAACACAAGCAATTAGAGTCTGATTCAAGGGTTTAGAACAGTCAATTTGCTCAATTTCAATGCAAAAATTAAGGGGATAAATGTCAGACAGCATTCTTTTCCTTTATCTATAATGAGGTCATTACCAAGATCTATTGATGGGTTTTCATGAAACTTGAGTTGGTCTTTTTGGTATAATAAAGGTTTTGCACTAACTTATCTTTCTTCTGTACACACCTCTAAAATGACCATCTAAGGTTAAGGAACAATTTTAGATTGTGGAGCACAGAGAAGCTGAAGTCGACATGAAGATCATGTTTGTTTTAGCTCTTTGAAGAACGGAAAACAATATGTACAGGAATATGTTCTTACAGCTGCTCAAAAATAGGTCATTTATATAAGAGTTAAACTATCAGCTACACTAAGTTACTCTGAAGTACGGCCTGAAAGCCAGGCTAAAGGCTTCGTTCATTTCAGTGCTGCTTCTTAAGGCCTGGTCCACACCTCTCCCAGATGACCACGTCAAAACTTTCAAGTGAACCAGTAATTCAACCACAAGGCTAAGGACAAAGTTGACACTTAAGTCTGGATTGTGGGACAGGGATGACACAACCTGCAGGTTGGATCTCTTCTATGGGCTATTTCCAAAAGCTAAGTGGGACGGACCACAGGTCACTGATAGCTGAATCCTAATTTACAAGACTTTTCATTATTTAAAGAAAAAAATACAGTCAACTGCCAATAATTCTGAGTTCAGTAATCGGGTCTCTAGCTGATGTGGCACAGTCTTGCAGATTGCAGTTCTATTTTTGTCCCTTTGTGTCTTTTGGCACTGGGATGGAGGGGATGTTGGCCATATTACAAGTAGCAGCTTAAGTCTCCAGAATGGCTAAATAGTATGAAATAGAAAACTCACTGCAAGAAATTTCACGGATGAACTCCCAAATAAATTTGTTTTTGAAAATTTCCATTCAGGGCAGGTTTGCCATGATAAGAGTTTGGTGAATGGAGGTTCTCTCTTGTTTTAGGAGTACTTCATACCCAGCACTAATTCATAGGAGATCAGCTTTCCTCACAGTTTAGAAAGATGGATATTCTCACACACTATGTAAGAGATCCCTGAAGTACCAGTGATGATCTTCTCTCTTATACTATTTCTTTTTTTCTGTATTGTCATTACGCAGGCACATTTAAGGAATGTCCATTACCGGAGTTTAACTAGTCTAGACAGAGCAAGGCTTTCTGGTCTATTCCCATGAGTAAAGGACTCAATCTTTTTTTTTTATTATTGTACTTTAGATAAAGGTTTACAGAACAGTTTCTCATTAAACAGTTAGTACACATATTGTTTTATGACAATGGTTAACAACCCCACAACATGTCAACACTGTCCCTTCTCAACCTTGGCTTCCCTATTACCAGCTTTCTTGTCCTCTCCTGCCTTCTAGTCCTTGTCCCTGGACTGTTGTGCCCCATTAGTCTCATTTTGTTTTATGGGCCTGTCTAATCTTTGGCTGAACGGGAACCTCGGGAGTGACTTCATTACTGAGCTAAAAGGGTGTCTGGGGGGGCTATACTCTTGGGGTTTCTCCAGTCTCTGTCAGGCCAGTAAGTCTGGTCTTTTTTTGTGAGTTAGAATTTTGTTCTACATTTTTCTCCAGCTCTGTCCGAGACTCTCTGTTGTGATCCCGGTCACAGCAGTCAGTGATGGTAGCTGGGCACCATCTAGTTGTACTGGACTCAGTCTGGTGGAGGCCATGGTAGTTGTGGTCTATTAGTCCTCTGGACTCATCTTTTCCTTGTATCTTGTTTTCTTCATTCTCTCTTGCTCCCGAAGGGGTGAGACCAGTGGAGTATCTTAGATGGCTGCTTACAGGCTTTTAAGACCCCAGATGCTACACACCAAGGTAGATTATAGAATATTTTCTTTATGAACTGTGTTATGCCAGTTGAGCTAGATGTTCCCTGAGACCATGGTGTCCCCACAGCCCTCTGCCCAGCAATTCAGCCCCTCAGGGAGTTTGGATATGTCTATGGAGCTTCCATGACTTTTCCTTGTACAAGTTGTGCTGGCTTCCCCAGTACTGTGTACTGTCTTACCCTTCACCAAAGTTACCACTTATTTGTCTGTTTAGTATTCCCTCCCCCCACCCCTCCCATCCCTTGTAACCAACAAAGATTGTTTCTTTTTGTGTGTAAACTTTTTCATGAGTTTTTACAGTAGAGGTCTCATACAATATTTGTCCTTTTGAGATTGACTTATTTCACTCAGCATAATGTCCTCCAGTTTCATCCATGTTATAAGATGCTTCACAGATTCATCACTGTTCTTTATTGCATAATACTCCATTGTGTGTATGTACCATAGTTTGTTTATCCATTCATCTGTTGATGGACATCTAGGTTGTTTTCATCTTTTTGCTACTGTGAACAATGCTGCAATAAACGTGGGTGTGCATATGTCTATTCATGTGACGGTTCTTACTTCTCTAGGATATATTAGGATATATTCCTAAGAGTGGGATTGCTGGATCGTATGGTATTTCTATTTCTAGCTTTCTAAGGAAGCACCATAGCATTTTCCAAAATGGTTATATCATGCTGCATTCCCATCAGCAATGCATTTCCCCGCAGCCTCTCCAACGTTTGTTATTTCCAGTTTTTTTGATTCATGCCAGTAATGCAAGGGTGAGATGGTATCTCATTGTGGTTTTAATTTGCATTTCTCGAATGGTTAGTGATCTCAAGCATTTCCTCACGTGTCTGTTGGCCACTTGAATGTCTTCTTTGGTGAAGTGTCTGTTCATTTCCTTTGCCCATTTTTTAATTGGATTGTCTTTTTGTTGTAGACGTGTTGGATTTCCTTGTAGATTTTAGAGATTAGACCTTTGTCTGATTTGTAATGTCCAAAAATTTCTTCCCAGTCTGTAGGTTCTCTTTTTACTCTTTTGGTGAAGTCTTTTGATGAGCATAAAGGACTCAATCTTAAAGCTACACAGCCAATGAGAACAACAACAACAAAAAAGACACACTCACACCCACCCACAAGAAGATGGCCAGAGTGACATTTCTTCATGCAAAAACGTAAGCTCCAGCTTTCCATCTCTTGCTCACTCCTCTCAGGATGGTACAGACATCCTAAGCCATCACTGTCCAGACTCTGGGCCTTCAGATGGTGGATCTAGGAGGTCATGTCTTTCTGCATCCCTCACACCTCAGGTTTATTCACCGATGGGTTAGTCCTACCTCAATGACTTCGTCTGGTATGGCTTCTTGTTTGTACTGGGTTCCATACCACTCTTCTGTGCGATCAGTTTTTCCTTCAAAAGATTTGGAAACTACTGCAACCCTAGAGACAGACGAAAAAACAAACAAAACAGAAAAAAACGGTAAACCCATGCTGTACATATAAATTTATAGCATCTGACTCACAGAAATGTAAATAATATCCAATAATGTGTTGGGTCTCTAAGACCTAGCAAATCCTCTAACGCTTAGCCAAACAATGTATGTATAGACAGGCAATGTATGCACAGAAGTTTCTGACTGTAGTACCTGCTATTCATTTGTTATAGCCTATCATTTTCAGTGTGAAAAAGTGCTTGCAGGAGAAATTCTTGTAGGTATGCTATTGACTAAAATGAAAAAGAAGAGTTAGGGAAAAAAATGGAGCAAGGTCAATTGAAAAACAATCCTTCAAAAAGCAAAACAAAGCACTTCTTCCTGGGAACAGCTAAGGCCCAGAGTTAACAGGAATGGCTATGAAAACCCATTGGCTTAGCCAGAGATCAAAAAAACCACAAACACCCCAAAGGAACATTTATTATTACTTGCTAAGTTTGTGCTATATAGTTTTTTCCTGCTAGAAACTAGCATTTAAATGTATGTACTATATATACATTGTTGTCCCTGCTGCTAAAGAAGGGGATAATACCAAGAAATCCCTCTCTGTCTTCCGGTTTATGAAAAGCTTTCTTTGATGGGATAAAAGAAAAGTCAGATGGAAAAAAAAAAAAGTTCAGGAAGGGAAGGTATAGGGAAAACGATGTCAAAAGGTAAATGAACAAAAGATTACAGGAGCAGAGAAGCAAAATAAGCTCTGTACCAGAGGAACTCTATAAACTGTCCCTGTGAAGGATTGTCAGGGACATCTCTGCCCCTGCTGCCTTTTAACTATCAAAGTTGGAATCATTACACACCCACCACAGACTCAACCCTAGGCTGGGACCAACCCTATTTTGAATCTTGTGGATTGAGCAGTTCTAGGCCAACAGGTTAGATGGCTTTGCATAAAGTCAGTTCTGTTACTAGTTCCACTTCTCCCTTATGTCCTAATTCAGATAACTAGGTCTATGTCTGTTCCTGCTTTTTCTCACTTGCCCTCCCTGAAGTTTGGTTCTAGCCTCTGAATGTCAGCCTCACAGCTCTAAGCCCAGTACTTGCAATCAAAACTCCCCTGCTGTTGAATACTTGTCCATTTCCAGAATCACAATCTCTATGTTCCAAATGTCTGCCCCTTGTTGGATCTCCACAACTTCACTGCCTGGTTGTCTGAATTATTACCATTCATTCTACAGAAAATACTTGAGCTGGGTGACTGGACTTGCTCTTATCATCTGCTTTTGGGTAGATATGCTAAGCAATCTGACTCACCTATCTCTCGGTATAACTGACTAATCTCCCAACTCCAGGTGTTCCTGATCTGGCCTACCTGCCACTGACCAATACCAGTTCTAGAAAACATGCTAAGTAAGAAGAAATATAGAAAGAAACATAGAGAGAAATCACACAGTTTAGCAGATGAAAGATTTTCGTTATTGCATCCAAAAGGAATACACGTTGGTAGTCTGAGAATTTCTTTTGAGGGGTATGTGTAGAGAGTGTATAAAATGGCCACATGGTGTTTCTTTCTTTCTTTTTTTTTTTAAAGAATTGAAATTTATATTCATTACATCTCTAGAAGAAAGAAGTCTCCATGAAGGGCATTATAAAGGAAAATATTGGTAAATCTGTATTAAAATGGAGAAATTAAGACTAAGCAAAATGAAAAAGTTTGGCAAAAAATTTGCTATGAAAATAATCAAAAAAGAGATACTTTATGAACTTATTTTAAAGGAATGAACTTAGACTCCTACATATAAATAGGCAAAGGACATAGGCAATCCACTAGAAAAGAAATGCAACTAGTATATAAGCATGGAAAAAGTTTTCAATATCCATTATCAAATATCAAAATGGAAATGCAATTGTTGATTTCTGTATTATCCACAAGTCGATTTCTTCCTCCTACTTAGTATATATATTCTACATATGTTCTTTTTTTAAAAAAATAATTTATTTTATCACATAGTATTTCTTAAGAACATTCTAGACATGACAGAGCCTACTAATATTCAGACCTAGGAACTGATTCCACTCTTGCTGATTTTTCAGAGAACGAATGAAGGTCAGGGAGACCTCTGAAAAATGCATCAGAAATGGAAGAACCTGGAAGAGAGATGGTATTTTCATCTTCCATGAGATGCTTGATTTTGGAGGAGTTCATTACATAGATGGTTTTTGTTGCCCTAAATGATAGCCCAGGCATCAGAATAATGGATGAGGGACTGAATACAATTTGTGAAGACTGAAGAATTCACTTGGAGTGGACCTGCCCTCTGAAACAAGGAAATTTTACACTCAGTTCTGAGAGAGAAAGTGAAAAAGCTCAGGGAAAGCTGCCAAGCCAAATGCTCTGGAGGACAACTGTATGACACAGAAAGCAGCACGCTGGAGGCTGTCCAGTGATGCTCAGGTTCAAAAGGGGGAGGAAATAGGGCTTGTCAGGTATAATCATCAGGGATTTAGATAGTTATCTACCAAAGTAAGGAGCCCTGGTGGTGCAGTAGTTAAGAGCTTGGATGCTAACCAAAAGGTCGGTGGTTCAAATCTACCAGCCACTCCTTGCAAACCCTATCGGGCAGTTCTACTCTGTCCTTTAGGGTCGTTATGAGCTGGAATCGACTCGACAGCAACAGGTTTGGTTTGGTTTTGGTATACCAAAGTAAAGTGTATAGGCAACATTTGAAATGTTACCATAACGAAGAAAATATGAAGTAGATGAAGATAATTCATCAAACTAGGCACATATCAAATATTACACTAACAAAAAGATATCTTTGCAGATGAAGAGTTAGTGTATCATTAAGGAATTCAAAGCTGAAATATACAACAAAAAAATATGTATTTAAAAAAATAAATAAATAAAGGTAGGGAAGGGGAATTAACAGTACAGAGGATACATGTGTCAAACCTATACAGGAATCAATGAACCAGAGCATATACATATAAGCACAGGGAAGAGAGCTTGAATTAGGAGAAAAGGAGAAAAAGACAAGTCACGACAATCAAAGTAAACTGTAGACAGCTTCAGTGCACTTAGCTGCAGTTAAGAAAAATGGGCACAGACAGCAGCATTTTAGACTACCTGACGGCAATCTAATTATGCAAAAAAATCATTCTGATGACAGTTTTCTCTTAAACACAGGGAGGCAACATTATTCTATATTTAATTCTGCCCACAACAAGCTGGCTTCTGATACGGTTCTAACATGATCCTCAGGAACATGAGAGAAAACAACCTTTTCTTTTCATAGTGAAACTGACAACAGTGAATAAAGGAAAACAGTGGGCTAGAATGCAGGCTGACTGCCGACGTCAAGTCAGCACATTTAGAAATGCTCAGAGGAAACTGACAGCTGTTAGATCTGGATGGGACCTGTTTAGAAATAATAGGTCTCCTGACTACAGATATTAAAAGGCAATATGGTTCCCAAAGAATGAAATCTTATGAGATTTTTACAAATGATCCCTTAGAAAAAGGGAGAAGACATCCAAAGAATGAGAAGCTTCACAGGTAAATGGTAATGAATTCAAGGGAACCAGTGGCAAGGGCATGGATCAGGCAATCAGGAACTTGAATTCTGGTCAAGACTCTGACTCACTTTCTTTGGGATCTGGCCAAAATCACAGTCAAGATCCTCTCTGGGCTTCAGTTTGATTACTTTTTAAATGGGGGTTCAAACTAGATGAACTCGTTCCTTCCATTAGCAGAATTCTACAATATCATATCAAATTAGATTTTTAGAAGATACATGCAGAAGAAGTAAGAAGGTGCAAAAAAAAAAAAAAAAATCTATTGATGAGACTCAAACATCAAACTTAAAGAATAGTGACAGGAAGGCTAAAGTGCTGAAGAAATTGAGGCTCATGAAAAATGCTAAAAACTATTTTTTAAAAGGGTTTCTTAAAGTGAAAAGGAAGCAAGAAAGGTTAAGCCAAAAACTTGGAGAATTCAGGGACTCCAGACTTCCAAAGCCTTGGAGGCTAGATGAACCCCTGAAACTACTGCCCTGAGATAATCTTTAAACCTTAAACCAAAAATATCCCCTGAAGTCTTCTTAAAACCGAACAATAAGACACATTCAAACACCCTGAAGGACTGAATAAGCAGGGCTGAAGGCTGGGGACCATGGCTGAGGGGGTCATCTGGGACAACTGGCATAACAAAGTTCATGAAGAAAATGTTCTACATCCAACTTAGGTGAGTAGCATCTGTGGCCTTAAAAGCTTGCAAGCAGTCATCTAAGATACATCTACTGGTCCCACCCCATCCAAAGCAAAGGAGAATGAAGAAAACCAAAGATACAAGGGGAAATATTAGTCCAAAGGACTAATAGGCCACAACTACCACAGCTTCCACCAGCCTGAGCCCAGAACAACTAGATGGTGCCCTGCTACTACCACCACCTCCTCTGACAGGGATCACAACAAGGTCCCACACAGAGCAGGAGAAAAATACAGAACAATATTGAAATCCCACCCCCTAAAAAAAAGACCAGACTTACTAGTCTGACAGAGACTGGAAGAACCCCTAAGACCACAGGTCCTGGACACCCTTTTCACTAAGAACTGAAGTCACTCTCGAAGTCCACCCTTCAGCCAAAAATTAGACAGGTCTATAAAACAAACAATAACACACATGAGGAACCTGTTTCTTATTCAGTCATATATATGAGTCCAAAACGGCAACATCTGCCCAAAAGCAATGACGAGAAGGCAGGAAGCGACAGGAAAAATGGATGGATGGAAACAGGGAATTGGGGTATGGAAGGAGAGTGTTGATACATTGCGGGGACCGGAACTAATGTCATAGAACAATTTGCATATAATTTTGTTGACTGAGAAACTAATTTGCCCTATAAAGTTTCACCTAAAGCACAAACAAAAAAACCCAAATAATAGTTTAGCTTAACTAGTAAAAAATGTCTGCCTTTAAGCATTGTACTCTTTCAAGATCTGTCTATATGGGATCTAACCGACAACAGCAACTCGAAAGATTAGACAGGAAACTCAGGGGGCAGTAAGCTTATTTTAATGGAGAAGGAACAACTCAAAAAAGGAGGGTGAGAACAGGTGCACAACTTGAAAAATGTAATCAATGTTACTGAATTGCACATGTAGAAACTGCTGATTTGGTGTTATGTTTTGCTGTGTATACTTTCAACATCAACAACAAAATTTAAAAAAATAATTCAAACAGTAAAAAAAAAACTTGGAGAATTCAGTCAACTTTTACTAAACCCTTACTAGCTTGAATTCTGGGAAAGACAAGTAAAACACAGTTCCAACCTGGATGGAACTCCTAAACCAATAAGACACATGACCCAAAGCAAAATGTGATAAATTTATGTTAATAGATGACAGGACTACTACTCTCTTATTTACATGGTCTCTACAAGAAACATGGGACTTTAAACTGTAAAAGTGGACCAAACAACAGAAAAAAGGAGTTGAAGCCCAAGACAAGTGGGTGAGTGAGCAACCAACTGATTCAAGTGAGCTCACATCTCTAAGCACAGATGAGTCACATTCTCTGATGCTTGGGCAACTAACCAATCACAACGAGATCACTGTCTATAACCTTCAAGAAATGATGGAGGACAGGAGAGGAGACAGAAGGTGGGAGATGGGCAAATTGCTCTGATTTTCAAAAAGGAAAAGGAGTGGAGCCTAAAAACCATAAACCAGTGGATTAGGTACTGACCCCTGACAAAATTCTACATCACCTGTCAGACTCTCAAACATTTAGACAAGAAGACAGTTATCACTAGGATCTGCATAGACTCACCAAGAACAACTCCCAAATGAACTGCTTTATGTATGACTTAAGGCATGTGGCAAAGACTCGATAGCTATATTTGTAGGTTAAGTATGGTAAAATAAGCACCAAGTGATATGGTCAAGGGAGAGAGGCAGTGATGATGATGGAGTCGTAACAGATAAACACCTTTAAACCTGTAAGTCAAATCTCAATATTCAAAAGAACTTTCTAGCAACTAGAACTGGCTATCTTGATACTTAATGAGTTCCCCATCCTTGGAGGAACTTAAGCTGAGGCAGGTAAACTACTTGTTGGGGATAGTACAAAAAAGATATATACCTGAGAGAGGTTAGACTAAATGACCTCTAAGATTCCTTTCATTCATTCTGAAGGATTTTCCTGTTTATGTCCCTACCTGGTCGCTATGTTAAACTTGTCTTAGCAGGTATCAAAGAAAGTAATCTTATCCCCAAGCAATCCCAGTCTGGCCTAACAGCTGGCACTATTATCCCAGGCTGCTCTGCACTATATCACTGATCTGCTGCTGCAGTTAACAATTATAACAGCCACAGAGACCAATCTTGTAGAGAAAAAATGGTTTTTCTTTAAAGGTGAAAGTAGAGAGAAGAAGAGGTACTTAACTATAATCGTAAAAGGTATTAAATTTAGAAACATACAATTTAAACAAAAGTGAAATGTATGTTCCTGCAAATTCACTCTTACAAAGTATTGCCTGGGTCAAATTACTGGCTCTAAGGCAGCAAGAACTATGTGAACATAATTTAAATCGTGATTTTTCTTGCAAAAAAAAAAAGCACATGCTTATTGTATGATATAATCTTAACAGCATTACCTTGTATTTGTACAGCACTTTTCAACTTTGCTAAATCATTCTGCATCAGATAGAAAGATAAATTACTACTATTTTTTTACAGATGGGCAAGATCCAAGGAATTAAATGACAGCCAGTGTTCATACATTATGTAAAGTTAACTGTACACATATCCCTTTGCAGGACTGTGAACATGGTTTACAATAATTATTCAATAAATACTGGTTGAAGAAATACAGTAAACTATCCAAGATCTCATGAACAGTAGGTGACAAAACCACACATAACTAGTCACTTGAAGGAAACTTAAAGACTGTCTACTGCGTTCTATTACTAAGTTTAAAACTCTTTATCCTCATGATGATAGGTTTTGTTTTCTAAAAGGTATATAATAAAAGTCAAGAGGAATTAAGCTATTTTTCAGACTATCTAGCTACAGTGAAGAAAATATAAATATTTAGACTGTCATACTGGTCCAAAATGAGTTAATGTGTATTGTGGGTATTTTTATACCATGTATTTTAATCATTGAAATAAATGCATATATAAAGTTTTTAATCTTGATGAAGTCCAATTTATCAATGTTTTTTATTTAAGGGTAACTGCTTTTTGTGTTCTTTCTAAGAAATCTTTGCTGTCTCAAGGGTTTGAAGATATTTTCCTATATTTTCTTCTAGAAGCTTTATAGTTTTGGCTTTTGATCTCTCTTAAATTGATTTTTTGTGTGTTGTGTGAAGCAAAGGTCAAGTTTCCTCTTTTACATATGGATAATGCAGCTGCTGGAACAGTACCACTTGTTGAGAAGACTTTCCTTTCTCCATTTAATTATGTTGGCACCTTTGTCAAAAAAAAAATCAATTGGCCATTTATGTGTGGGCCTATTTATGTACTCTTGTTCTGTTTCATTAATTTCTTTGTTCTGTTCCATTAATTTCTTTGTCTATCCTTATGCCAATACCACAGTGTCTTAATTACTGTAGTTTTATAGTACATCCTAAAATCTGGTAGCATAAATCCTCCAAGTTTTGTCTTTTTTCCAAGAGTGTTCTGGCTGATCTCTGCATATTTGTATAAATTTTGGAATCAGTCTACAATTTCTAGGAAAGAAGGAAGGCAGGGAGGGAGGAAGGAAAGGAGGGGAAAACAGAGGAAGGGATTTGGACCGTGATTGCACTAAGTCTGCGAATCAGATTAGAGAGAAGTGATATCTTAACAGTATTGAATCTTACAATATCTATGAACATAGTATATCTCTCCATTTATTTAGATCTTCTTGAATTTCCCTTGGCAGCGTTATGTGGTTTTCTGTGTGGAGGTCTTGCTTATCTTTTGTTAAATTCATTCTGTTTTTTATTGTGATTATAAATATTTCTTTTCACTGACTTTTCCCATTGTTCATTGTTAGTATATATGAATGCAATTGATTTTTTTATACTCACCTCATAACCTATGACTGTGATGAATTCACTTATTAGCAGTACTAGAACTTTTGGGGGTGGTAGGTTCCTTAGGATTTTCCATATATACAATTATGTCATCTATGCATCTATCACTTTAAACTATTTATACTATGTAAACTATATCTCAAGCCTCAGCTAGACTACTTCAGGCATGAACAATTTAAAATATTAGGTTACATAACTATTTAATCTTCAACTTTCTCTGTTGTTAGTTTACAGACTAGAAAAAGAAAGATTTCCTGGTTTTTCAATTCCTGAGTACTTAAATAAGTTATCTAGAGCTGAAAAGGGCTTTTGTTGTTAAAAGAAGAGTGATCAGCTCATCAATCGCTAATGAATTCACAGCTTTGAATAACTTCCTCTAGGCAATAAATATGGACTTAAAATACTGGCAAGAAACAGAGTGGAAGACATACTGAAACCTATTGTGACTGTTTTATCTATCAAACGGGTACATGAAATCAGAGATTTAATTTCTATATAATTTCAGCAAGTTATCATGTTGGAAACATGTAAATTTTGACCTTTAATGTATTTTTTTAAACTAGCTTTAGATGTCTGCATGTAAAAGATTTTTAACTAAATACTGAAGTATCTTATCACAATTTAACAATTCTAAAAGTTTGATATTTATTTGTATTTATCTAAAAACTTCATCATTAAATATTTAACTTAACCCTAGCATGTGGTCAGGTAAAATCTAGTGGCTAGTGGGCTCTGCTAAAAGAAATGCGGTCACTAGAGTCCACTAGCCACCTAAGAGTGACAATAGGTAGGCCAAGCCAACCTGAACATGAGAATACATTATTGTTCTCAACATAAACTGCATAAGACAAGTCATATATGGAATTATAGCCAATGAACTTTTATATGTCTGGGAAAAGTACAAACAACTGTAACTAAAAGACTGACAAAAAATGTTTTTTCTTCAAAAAGTTCTGCTAGACAGTTGATTTTATTTATGAAATGACTGCTCCATAAAACACATTTATTCAATTGCAAAGTTCCCGGTAGGATTTTGGAAATACATGCCTGACAGAAGTAAAAATTAAAAAAAAAAAAAAAAGCCATTCAAGTATATTCCTTCTAGCATTAACTTTAGAGGATATAGATGAAATTCAGTTTTAAGGGAGAAATAGCACAAGCTCCTTAAGGCTGTCCTTCCTCTAGCAAGAATACCTCTGTTACTGCACTAAGAGGTTCAGCTTTTGGTCTCCTGTTAACCACTAGTCAGTCAGAAGGATTCTTGGATTGTAGTCTTTAATCTCACTTAACGAAAAAAAAGGGTGCCTTCACTTGCTTAGAAGAGTGAGATAGGTGAGTTGATACTCTGGCCATTTAGGTTTAGATGAAGCCAGGATAAGATAATTTATTATTACATTTTATTCATGATAATGAAATTATTATTATTTTTTTAAGAGTCTTTATCTTTTAGAGATACTGCTTCAGGGTAATCTAGGGTGGGGAGGATGGGTATAGATGAAAAAAGACTGGTCATGTATTGATAATTGTTGAAGTTGGGTGCTGATTCATTAAACTCTCTACTTTTGGATCATGCTTGAGAGAGAGTTTAAAAACATTTTACTCACAATTACAAATTTTCATATTCTAATCATTAGTGAAAATTGAGTATGTAACAATAAAATCTGTAGGGTAACTCACCGAACATTTTCTGGTCTGAGCTTATCGAGAACCATCTCTATTAAATCAGGTCTAAATTCTTCCAGCAAATATTCAGCTGTGAGCACTTCTTCTAGGGGATAATACTTTTTAAAAGGAAAAAAAATAAATAAATTTTGCAAGACTACTAGAGAGTTTAATAATCTATTAAAGCAAACAGATCTTTTAACACATTAAATCCATTGTTTTCTTTCCCCATCTTCCTTTCAATGAAATTCTACCCCAATGGAAAAATGTCTATAGTCCTGAATCTTTTCTCTTTCCTACCCACAACTTTAAGCAGTTTCATATTGTAGAATGATTTTGGAGTTAATCTCCAAATACATCTACATTATAAAGAGAAAAATCACATTTCCTTCAGGAAAAAATATGAGTAATATTTCTGGCTAAAAACTGAGTACTTCTTAATGAAGAAAATTTGATGGTGGAATGCTGACATCTATAGGATTTTTAATATAAAGAATGTACATTTTTATGAACAGAATTTCCTCTACAATTTCTACAAAGGAAATCAGACAAGCATTTAGAAAACCGTTGTGGAGAAAAAGAGTTTATATTTTCAGCTAGAATGGAAAAATAACGTAGAAAATGGTTTTTAGTAAGAGCAACTGCCAATATACAGGAACAGACTGACCGATTCATTCATTCAATAAATATTTAATGAATATCCACTCTGTGCAAAGCACTGTCCTAGGTACCGTGACGACAACAGTAGATAAGACAGATGAAGTCCCCGTTCTCCAAGGGGTTTACATTCTAATTGGGAGGGAAGCAGACAATAAACAACAAATACTGCAATTTTAGTTAGTGATAGGCACTATAAACAAAGTGAAAAAGAAGCATGGGATTATTTTAGATAGGGAGGTTAGGGAAGGCCTCTCTGAGAACGAGACATCTGAGCGGAAACCCAAACGATAAGAAAAACCTGGCCATGCAAAGATCAGGGGGAAGGGTGCTCCAGATAGAGAACACTGCAAATGTAAAGGCCCTAACAGGGAGGAATAAACTCAAAGCTGGAAGATTAGACAAAGAGCAGTACAGCTGGAGTGGAATAGGAGAGGGAAAGGTGGCCTGGGGAGTAGTATGAAATGCAGTTAAAGAGATAAGCTGGAGCCAGATCACCCTGTAGGCAATAAAATTTTGGATTTTATTTCAACTCTGATGGAAAAGCATTGGAGGATTTTAAGAAGAGGAATGAAACAATCTGATTTTGGTTCTCAAAAGATCACTGAAGCTGAAAAAAATAAACTGTAGTGGCAGACAAGCAGGAAAACAGGCAGACAAGCAGGAAAACAGGGGTCTCAGTAAGAGGCTATTATGGCAGTCCATGCAAAAAGCAGTGGTAGCTTGGACTAGGGTAGTAGCAATGGAGATGGAGACAAGTAGATGATCTATAGCTTTCACACAGGTAGCACCTGATATCATTGTAGAATTGAAAGATATTAAAAGTCAATAAGCAAAATGCCTATTTAACAAAAAAACTTACAGATGATCATTTTTAGGATGATGAAAATTAAGATTTTAAACATGTCTTGACATCAAAGTTTGCCCAGTTGCTACAGAGTCTAAGGTTTTATGCTGCAGCTTCAATTTTTATCATTTATGTGGTACTGAAAGGAATACACGCAGGACAACTGAAATACTCTACACACCAGTGTACACAGTAAAATAACAACAAACTTACATGCAATATTCCTGCAATCTTAGATGTATAGCCCCGTGGTCTTTCTTTATCTTTAAATCTAAAACCAACAGCATTCAAGTCCTAAAATATAAAGTCAATCCAATTAGACATAAATCCAATATTCAGAAATACTTCTTTTAGTATTTGATTCGCACTATGGACTTTCTACTCCATATTTAACTTATCACATGTTCTGAAAAAAATGTCTAAGCTTGATTTAGAAATGTATAGAACACAGAATGAAAATTTCTTAGTGTATAAACCTCAACCCACCAACCTAGGCTTAAAATCAAAAGCAAAGTAGGTATAATTTTGATTAAAAATAACAAATAAGGAATTATGATTCTATACCCTAACTTGGTGAAACTGTTAGTCAAAAAATTAGGGAAACTGTGGAAGAATCTTGTGAGATCCAACAGTTTCACAGATAATTTTGGTGACCCATTCAGGGAACTGCACCCAGATCAGAAGTTACTGTCATAGTTTTCACAAGCAGAGCTTATACCTTTAAACATTTACCTAGGTAAAGAGAATGTCTCTCATACTAAAACATACTTCAGAATCCTGATAGGCCTTAAATACAAGCTACATATCTTGAAAACCCTTTTAAAAGAAGCCCTCAAAACTTTGGAAGAAGAACACCTTCTGTTTTATGCAAAAGAAAAAAAAAAGACAGTTAGGTTTTTCCATATATGCCATAAGAAAGTCACTTTTAAGAACGTAATCATATATAAAACAATTCACTATTCCTCTAAGAGGTTGCTATGAGTTTTCATCACCAGATCTGAAAATGACAGAGCCTATGCAGCTTTCAGGCAGGAAGTAACATAAGCCCTGATATATACTAGCTCAAGAAATTGCTGGGTTTCTTCTGGGGATGGAAAGGTAATCCAACTTCTTCCTTTTTCTGTTCTAAAAAAGGCTACAGGATGCCTTAAGCCTTAATTATGCCCCAGGTAGCCAATCAGACTAGTACAACTAAGCCTTAATACTGCTATTATATATGACACAATTTTAGAATTTAGATTTTAAAAAAACTTTAAAATTTTAACTGGGTCTTAAATTTAAATCACATATTTGCTTTTGAAAAATAGATTCCTTAAGAAAATTTTTGGTGAAAAAAAGGTACCTTGCACTCTTGGAAAACCCATTCTTGAGGTCCTTCTGCACGTAACTTCTGAACGTATTGAAACATGTGCAAAATTATATCTTCAACATGTACTGGAAAAAAGGGGCACACTTAAAAACCATTCAGTCCTCAAATCCTTTAAAGCAGTGAGCTCACTCCTAAGGTAAAGTCAGGTAAGTGAAGGATGGTCCCTCTAAGAAAATGAAGTCCTCACCTCCCTGAGACTGCTTTTATGCATTCCACACACATGGCCCTCTGGGCTCAGGGATATGTGACAGAAGGGGCTTTGGGACAGTGAATGAGCAAATGAGAAGCTAAGTACACAGTCTACAAGTGCAACACAACTATCAGTTGTTAAGGGTGGGAAATCATCCATGAGATGAAGGGCAAGTTATACACAAAAAATGCAATGGATAAGTTGCATGAATTTAAGTGTTTATAGCTTTTCAACATAAAACAGACACACAGTATAAAGAAGTTTAAAAAAAAAATCATAGGAAGTCAATTTTCATTTAAAAGCAAAAAGTTCAATACTTACATAATCCTTCCTCAGTCAAGTCCACATTAATGATAAAAAACATAAAACCTCGGGCTCCTTCCTTCTGCCCACCAACAAGAGTATTTACCCAGCCTGCAACGTTCAAATGAAATCAACGTGTTCACATGTATGGTTTCTTAAGACAAGGAATTAAAAAAAAATCACACTATATGTTCCCAAAAGATTAGAATGGCCCTCTTGCGAAAAGATCGGGAAAAAAAAAAAAATCAGTTCAGAAAAACAGTTTCAGACACTGCAGAAGGCTCCCAGGATTTTTTGGGCTGGGGGCTTTCCTCAAGACTCCTCAAATCAGTTCCCAAATCAAGAGTAGACTATGTGCTTGAGTGTTATGTCAAAGCAAAGAGTCTGAGTTGAGAGCGGCCTTGGAAATCACCTATTGACTAGAACCTAGTACAGTAAATCCTGCGAAAGCCAGAGCCTGTGTAAGATGGAAACCTGCCAGAGAAGGAAAACTCAAATATTTTCCACAGAAATACTAAAAGTGGTAAGACTGCATTCTATCAAAGGCAGAAAACTTGCAAGACCTGGAAAAACAAGGCAGTCCCTTCGAGTTCAGGCTCTCACAGGTTCCACTGTACATACCTTTCTGGTTTAATAAGAGCAGGCAAGTAAATAAAAGTGTACTAACATCTTAGTTCACATAGATGATAAAGAATATCCAATGTGAGCTTTTAGTTTCTAACTTCTTTCTCATTTTAAACATGTACCACAATATCTTTTGAAATATCGAAGCTTTGCTGCTCAATATTGAAGGGTAAAATAAATTATGAAAAACCCCAAAAAACAAAAACACACTAACCACCACCAACTCACTGTACCATTAACCCTAACAATTTCATCCAAAAAGGTTCCTTCACAGGAAAATATTTAGGAAAAAATGAGAGCCAGAAGGAAAAAATGTGGTAAGGAACTACCCTCAGAAGTGGGTGCCCAAAAGACTTACCCTTAGATTTAAGTTCTGATAACAGGCTTCCAGGACCTTCATGCCCAATAAGATGACCAAGATAATGGCCAGGATTTGATTTGTAGTATTTCTGAAGATCAGGTATGGGAAATGTCACGTAAAGATTCCTAATATCCTTAATGGGTACTATTTTGTAAAGTTGCTGGGGGGAAAAAAATCACAAAAGATTAGCTACATACAACTCCCACTGAATAAAATATTTACTAACTATGAAGAATACTGATTTTCATGGAAGAATCTCAAATTTAGGAGAGAATCAATTGTCAGAGAAAATCATATCAACCACAAAGAAATAAATGGCCCAGGTTCTTTCTTAGTGGAATTTCACTGCAGTTTGCATATAGCCTGTATTAGACTCCATGGACCATGCAACTAAGTAGTTCTGGATGCTAGCCTCCTGGCACCAGATGATAGCTTCTAGAGTGTGCCAAAGCTAGAGCTACCAAAACTACTTTTCGCATGGAATGATCAGAACATACTGATTTTTTTTGGTGGCACATGGAACGAGGGGTATCATTGCTGATACCAAGATGGATCTTGGCTGAAAACAGAATACCAAAAACATGTTTACCTGTGCTTTTATTGACTATGCACTGGCATTCGACTGTGTGGATCATAACAAATTATGGATAGCATTGCAAAGAATGGGAATTCCAGAACACTTAATTGTGCTCATACGGAACCTGTACACAGACCAAGAGGCAGTCATTCGAACAGAACAAGGGGATACTGCATGGTTTAAAATCAGGAAAGTTGTGCATCAGGGTTGTATCCTTTCACCATACTTGTTCAATCAGTATGCTGAGCACATAACCCAAGAAGCTGGACCATAAACAACCTGTGATAAGCAGATGAAATAACCTTACTTGCTGAAAGTGAAGATGACTTGAAGTACTTATTGATGAAGATCAAGGACTACAGCCTTCAATATAGATGACTCCTCAATATAAAGAAAATAAAAATCCTCACAACTAGACCAATAAGCAATACCATGATAAATGGCGGAAAGAGTGACATTGCCAAGGATTTCATTTTACTTGGATCCACAAACGACGACCATCGAAGCAGCACTCAAGAAATTGAATGACGTATTGCATCAAGCATATCTGCTGCAAAAGACCTCTTTAAAGTGTTAAAAAGCAAAGATGTCACCTTAAGGACTAAGTTCTGCTTGACCCAAGCCGTGATATTTTCAATCGTCTTGTATGCATGTGAAAGCTGGACAATGAATAAGTAAGACTGAAGAATTGATGTCTTTGAATTATCGTGTTGGCAAAGAACACTGAATATACCATGGGCTGCCAGAAGAACAAACAAATCTGTCTTGGAAGAAGTACAGCCAAAATGCTCCTTGGAAGCAAGGATGGTGAGACTTCGTCCATGTACTTTGGACATGTTATCAGGAGGGACTAGTCCCTGGAGAAGGATATCATGTTTGGTAAAGCAGAGGGTCAGCAAAAAAGAGGAAGACCCTCAATAAGATGGACTGACAGAGTGGCTGCACCAGTGGACTCAAATAGCAACGACTATGACAATGGCACAGGACTGGGCAGTGTTTCATTCTGCTATGAGATGGAACTGACTCAATAGCACTTAACAACAACCAAAATACCAAAAACACATGCACTTACTTTAAGATGCTCTTGTTGGAAAGGGTGTTCGGGAAATTCTGGCAGTGGAACATTTTTGTTCTCTACTTCAGAAAATAACTTCACCACCAGATTAGTCAAGTCATCTAAGGATTCTACAAGAAAACAGACATTGAAAATAGAACTTAAACTAATTATAATATATGACAGATAGTACTGAAGATGTTAGGCTCTCCTGAAAAATCTTAGGACTACTAAAAGGAAAACCTGAAATTTTTTGAAACTGCATCTGATAAAGTTGAAGCACAGTTAAATCCTACCAGTACCTACATAACTTCTAAAGCTGCTGAGCAATATTGATAGTGACTATACCTCACACATGTTTAGCCTTTTATAGCTTAAAATACTGTTTTAAGAATATTATCTTACAATAAATTTAAAACAAATATTAGAACCAATAATAGAAAAATCAGTTACATTTGGAAAACTGACTTTAGGATTCCTAACAGGCACATACTGAACTATTAACAGATTGATTATAACATTCACTTATAAAATACACATAATGAATGATTTTGTTGGGGAATAGTGTAAGGTAGTGAAAAGAATCCCGGATCCCCACGGAGAGGTCTTGGATTCTAAGCCCAGCTTCACCAACCATGTCAACCAATTACTTGGACAAACTGTTTAACCACACGAGGTTCTCTAAAACAAGGAAATTGGGTAAGAGGATCCCAACCCTCTTTCAGTCTAACATTATATGATTCTGTATCATAATGTGCCAAAGTCACTCAAAGACTTGCAATAGCTGACACAACTATGTGGTCACTTAAAGTGATGCTCTTTCATGTTTTCATGTACATACATTCTTTTATAAAGAGTTATACTTGCAAAAGTTTGCAAAGATATATGTGTACAATGCTCACTACAGCACTGTTTACAATAACAACATAAAAAACTGGAAATGATCTAAACACCTATTAATGTGAAGATGTTATGAAACATCCACACGTTGGAATTTAACGAAGCAAGTAAGGAGACAAGGGAGAGATCTGTATGTGCTGATATGAAAATATCTCAAAGCTCTATTAAGTGAAAACTGCAAGTCACAAAAACAATGCATGCAGTATAATCTCATTTAATTTTTTTAAAGATATAACGTATTATGTGAGCACATTAGCAAAATTCTACTTTTGAAAGTACAGAAAGAAATGGCTTAAGGGGACTATCTTGGAGGAGGGGACACAGCCATTGCAAAATGGAATGAGGAAGAACTTGCTTCTCATTTTATACCTCTCTGTGTAGGATGATTTTTTTTTCCCATTACTACTATTCTAAAATGAAAATATGAAAAAAGGTTATCTTTTTATAAACAAGGTTATTTATTAAAAAAATATGTTATTTATAAATGATATAAACATTCATTACTTGTTACTGTCAGTAAGCATTTGAATCAAATAAGAAATTTCCCTTGATATCCTATGACCTATTTTGAACTTTCCCCACAAACTCTCTAGACAGTATTTAATCACTATTTGGGAAGTGTCTTTATATCATATAAAATTCTTTTAGGTCTGCAATGTTGGCATTTGCACTTTGTAAAATACACCTATTTTTACCTCAATTTTTTAACATGTATGAAGGACCCCAAAATGTCCAGAGCCAAATAAAAGGCAGTCAGTGGCTGCCTGTTATATGACATATGAACTCAGGAACGGAGGGGTTATATTTGAAGAGAAGTCAGGTATCTTTATGTACAGATGGGACACATGACATTAAATAAGGTGGGCAGTCAACAAAGGTTTGTCAACCTGAAGTGGTGATGACTGCCAGATCCTTTAGAGCAAGGTGCTACCAAGTGTGTCTTTCCTCTTGGGTATTTCTAACCTAGAAGCATAAATTTACATTGTAGCTTTTAAAAGGTAGGGCAGCTGAACAATACTGCACAGGCTGACTTTTCCACTAAGCTGTGAGCTACCAGATAACAGGGAACGGAGTCTCATTTATTTTCCTGTCACCAGTGGCTGGCAATCCCAAGGTCTGTAACTTGATATCCCTATTTACCAAGTGCTCAGGTAATTAGTGCTGCCACAACTGGAGGGATGGCTCACAGAGAAGAATAGGAAAAAAAATTTTGTCCCTTTGTGATAGAGATCCTTCCACGTGGTTACTCTTCTGCTCTTCCCCTCCAGGAGAAGGAGTCAATTCTCTATCAACCTTCTAACAGCTCCTGTTTCCTCCTCACATCTGAACCATAACGACACCTCTCTCAGGGCCCCTCATAAGTCCAGTGAGCTCAGCACAGGAAGTCAGTCACATTGTGAGAGTGATCTAGATGAGATTAGGGAATTGAAACATCTCTTACTTCTTTCGGACACCTATTCTGTCACTTCCACTAAATCATGAATACTCTGAGGACAGGGCTCGTGTTGATATATCTGTCACCATTATTACTTGCCCAATAACTGTTTATCAGAATCATGGGTTTTATCTCAAATATGACATAGACAAAAATACAGCTTAGGAATCTATTCCTAGGAACTGGGCTCTAAATACCAAGTGATATTTAACACTCTACACCTACCTATCTTTAGCAAGCACATAGGATTCTAGAGTTTTTTTTTAATTAGCCTCATTCCTTAGATCTATTTTATATCCTGGTTCCTATTACCAATTTAAAATATAAATAGTTGTTTATTTTCTAACAACAAAAGTAACACTTGCCAGTAGCAGAAAACTTAGAAACAAAAGCAAAAAGAAGAAACCAAGTCACTCATAGAAAAAAATTTTTTATTGTGCTTTAAGTGGAAGTTTACAACTCAATTTAGTTTCTCATACAAAAATTTGTACACACATTGTTATGTGACTCTAGGTGCTCTCTCTATAATGTGACAGCACACTCCTCCTTTCCACCCCAGATTTCCAGTGTCCATTCAACCAGCCCCTGTCCCTTTCTGTCTTCTCATCTTGCCTCTGGACAGGAGCTGCCCATTTGGTCTCAAGAATCTACTTGAACTAAGAAACACACTCTTCACGAGTATCATTTATGTCTTATAATCTAGTCTAATCTTTGTCTGAAGAGTTGGCTTCGGGAATGGTTTCAGTTCTAGTTTAAGAGAGTACGGGGTCATGTCTTCCAGGGTTCCTCTAGCCTCAGTCAGACCATTAAGTCTGGTCTCTCTACCAGAATTTGAGTTCTGCACCCCACTTTTATCCTGCTCCGTCAGGGACTCTCTGTTGTGTTCCCTGTCAGGACAGTCATTGGTGGTAGCTGGGCACCACTTAGTTTTTCTGGTCTCAGGCTGATGGAGTTTCTGGTTTATGTGGCCCTTTCTGTCTCTTGGGCTAATATTTTCCTTGTGTCTTTGGTGTTCTTCATTCTCCTCTGCTCCAGATGGGTTGGGACCAATTGATGCGTCTTAGATGGCCGCTCACTAGCTTTTAAGACCCCAGACGCTGCTCACCAAAGTAGGATGCAGAACATTTTCTTGATAAACTTTGTTATGCCAATTGACTTAGATGTCCCCTGAAACCATGGTCCCTAGACCCCTGCCCTTGCTAGTCTGTCCCTCAGAGTATTTGGTTGTATTCAGGAAACTTCTTAGCTTTTGGTTTAGTCCAGTTGTACTGACTTCTCCTGTATTGTGTTGTCCTTCCCTTCATCTAAGACAATTCTTGTCTACTATCTAGTTAGTGAATACCCCCTCCCTCCCTCCCTCCCCCTGTAACTATCAAAGAATGTTTTCTTCTGTGTTTAAACCTTTTCTTGATTTCTTGTAACAGTGGTCTTATACAATATTTGTCCTTTTGCGACTAATTTCACTCAGCATAATGCCTTCCAGATTCATCCATGTTATGAGATGTTTCGCAGATTCATTGTTGTTCTTTATCATTGCATAGTATTCCACTGTGTGGATATACCATAATTTGTTTATCCATTCATCCACTGATGGGTACCTAGGTCATTTTCATCTTTCTGCTATCGTGAACAGTGCTGCAATGAACATGGGTGTGCATATATCTATTCGTGTGACGGCTCTTATTTCTCTAGGATATATTCCAATGAGTGGGACTGCTGAATCGTATGGTACTTCTATTTCTAGCTTTTTAAGGAAGCGCCAAATCGATTTTCAAAGTGGTTGCACCATTTTACATTCCCACCAATAGTATGTAAGTGTTCCAGTCTCTCCACAACCTCTCCAACATTTGTTATTTTGTGTTTTTTGGGTTAATGCTAGCCTTGCTGGGGTGAGATGGTATCTGATTGCAGTTTTGATTTGAATTTCTCTAATGCCTAATGGTCATGAGCATTTCCTCATGTATCTGTTAGCCACCTGAATGTCTTCTTTGGTGAAGCGCCTGTTCATATCCTTTGCCCGTATTTTAATGGGGTTGTCTTTTTGTTGTTGAGGTTTTACAGTATCTTGTAGATTTTAGAGATTAGACGCTGACTGGATTTGTCATAGCCAAAAATTTTTTCCCTGTCTGTAGGTTGTCTTTTTATTCTTTTGGTGAAGTCTTTTGATGAACTAAGGGTTCGATTTTTATGAGCTCCCAGTTATCTAGTTTCTCTTCCGGTGTTTGTGCATTGTTAGTAAAGTTTTGTATTCTGTTTATGCCATGTATTAGGGCTCCTAGCATCGTCCCTATTTTTGCTCCATGATCTTTATCATTTTAGATTTTATATTTAGGTCTTTGACCCATTTTGAGTTAGTTTTTGTGCATGGTATGAGGTACAGGTCTTGTTTCAGTTTTTTGCAAATGGATATCCAGTTACGCCAGCACCCTTTGTTAAAGAGACTGTCTTTTCCCCATTTAATGGACTTTGGGCCTTTGTCAAATATCAGCTGCTCACAGGCGGATGAATTTACATCTGGATTCTCAATTCTGTTCCACTAGTCTATGTATCTGTTGTTGTACCAGTACCAGGCTGTTTTGACTACCGTGGCGGTATAATAGGTTCTAAAATCAGGTAGTGTGAGGCCTCCCACTTTGTTCTTCTTCTTCGGTAATGCTTTACCTATCTGGGGCCTCTTCCCTTTCCATATGAAGTTGGTGATTTGTTTCTCCATCTCATTAAAAAATGCCGTTGGAATTTGGATTGGGATTGCATTGTATCTGCAGATCCCTTTGGGTAGAATTGACATTTCCACAATGCTGAGTCTACCTATCCATGAACAAGGTATGTTTTTCCACTTATGCAGGTCTCTTTTGGTTTCTTGCAGTTCTCTTTGTATAGGTCTTTTATGTCTCTGGTTAGATATACTCCTAAGTATTTTATCTTCTTGGGGGCTACTGTAAATGGTATTGATTTGGTGATTTCCTCTTCGAAGTTCTCTTTGTTAGTGTAGAGGAATCCAACTGATTTTTGTAAGTTTATCTTATAACCTGATACTGTGCTGAAATCTTCTATTAGTGCCAGTAGTTTTCTTGTGGATTCTTTGGGGTTTTCTGCGTATAAGACCATAGTATCATCTGCAAACAGAGATACTTTTACTTCTTCCTTACCAATCTGGCCTTTATTTCTTTTTCTAGCCTAATTGCTCTGGCTAGGACAGTGTTGAATAAGAGTGGTGATAAAGAGTATTCTTGTCTGGTTCCTGTTCTCAAGGGGAATGCTTTCAGACTCTCTCCATTTAGGATGATGTTGACTGTTGGCTTTGTACAATTATGTTGAGGAATTTCCCTTCTATTCCTATTTTGCTGAGAGTTTTTATCATGAATGGGTATTGGACTTTGTCAAACGCCTTTTCTGCATCAATTGATAAGATCACATGGTTCTTGTCTTTTGTTTTATTTATGTAATGGATTACACTGACTGTTTTTCTAATGTCAAACCATCCCTACATACCGAAATGAATCCCACTTGGTCACAGTGAATTATTTTTTTGATATGTTGTTGAATTCTATTGGCTAGAAATTTGTTGAGGAAAAATATGGAATGCTTCACAAATTTGCATGTCATCCTTGTGCAGGCGCCATGAGAATCTTCTCTGTATCGTTCCAATTTTAGTATATGTGCTGCCGAAGTAAGCATTCCATTTTTTCTTTATGTCTACACCATACTTCTATTAAAATTTTCTGTAAATCCCAAAATGGGAGCATCTAGCACATCGTTTTTGTTTTAGAATTCTTTTGTTTTCTATTCAATATATTAAAAATATTTTGCCCCATTAAAATGCTGTTATAAAATTGTTTATTCATTCAATATATATTTACCAAGTGCTTATGATGTACCAAAAACTAACTCAGGCACTACAGATAAAGCAGTGAACAAAACAAAGTTTCTGTTTTTAAGTAACTTACATTCTGGTAGGGTGGACAACAATAAACAAACATGTATTTAATATCTCAGGTGGTGATAAATGTTATAAAGAAAAAATAAATCAGGTAGGACAGAGAGTGAGAGAACAATGCTATTTCCTATAAGATATAATAGTTATAACATCACTATTTAGCTAGTTTCCTTTTAATGGACATTTAAATTGTTTCTAACTTTTCACTAAGATCTACTATACTGAGAAACACCTGTTTGAACAACTCTGATTATTCCATTAGGCTGTATTTCTAGAAGCAGAAATATATACATACCTTTAAAGGGTGATGTGTTTTGTTAAACTGCTCACTAGAAAAACTAGAGCAAATCACACCACCATTACCAACGCAAAACAGCACAAACCCCCCACCCCCCCATTGCAGGTATTACTCAAACAAAACAAAAACAAAGCAAAACTATGGTAATTTAATAGGGGGAAACAAAATATTATCATTGGTTAATTTGCATTTTTAAAATCAAACTTCTGTTGTTTATGTTCCAAGTAGTTTTTCCAGTTTATCATTATCTGCCTTTTAATTTTATTTCCAGTGTTTTGAATTGTTGTAAGGTCAAATCTATCAATCTTTTTCTTTACACTTTCATCCCTTGCTTTTATATGCTTAGAGCATCTACTACTAATTTATTTTTTGTTCTGGTCTTCACTTAAAATCACCTAAACTTCTTTTTGGAACATGGCAAAATATAAACAAAATCTCCCTCTACATATTTTCAAACAAAATGACACTTTCAAAGTCTCTAAGCAGATAAATGGCCATATCTTCTTCAAATACTTTGAAAAAGACAAAATGGAAAACTTAGATTATCCAATTCTATGAAATTTTTAAGGATTCTTACCTCGACCCAAAACACAAATAGCCATTAAGTTGGATGAATAATAAGTAGAATGGAATTTCAGTAGTTCTTGTCTTACATCAATGCCTTCTTGGTTTGGTCTCGTTTCTAGAGTATATTTGTTACCTGAAAGAGACAAAAAAGCATTTAACAGACAATGCAAAAAATGTAGATTTTAAAGTTTTGTAATTATTACAGACATTGGTATAAGATGAACTTTAAAAAGAATTCAAACACACATAATTAGTCAAAAATGCTTGAACACAAGCAGGATAAACAAAACAGCACAGTATAAACTAATAACAGTTTAAACTATAGAGTTTTCCCTAAGGAACTTAAAGTGCTTTATAAAAATTATACTTAAAATCCCTGTGAGATTGTTGGTATTATGAGCACTTACAAGACAAAATGAGATCCACATGCCCCCATTCACACTTATTTTTAATTTTCAATTCCCTATGTGCTCTATAATTAATTGAACAGAGTCACTGAAGGAGCCTTTTGGAACTTGCCAAGTTACTTGTGAAAAGAAAGTTACTATTCTTGGCTGAAGCATTAAATTTGTGATGTGAATTCTCATGGATTTGATCTAGACTGGTAAAAATAGGATACAATGCTATTTTTATAAACTGCAAATGATAATCCATATATAGTATACTACTCTTCTAAAATTTTAATAACTAATTGAATTAGGGTAAAATCTACATGTTAAAAACAAATAGACAAATCCTCTAAATGCTACCTTTCCAATAAAGACCTTGCAATTTAGGGACTGGGAGATGGAATTCCATGATTGGTATCTCTCCAAAAATGGCATATTGACTGGAAATATCCAAAGTTCCTAGAATTAGTAACTTTTACTATTGGTCCTGCTTACACTACTAAATGAGCTCTTGTCTTTCATCTGCAAAGATAACACTATAGTACAACACGTTTTTGACGTGTTTTTTTTTTTCCTTGTATTTTTAAATGGCTTAATGATTGGCCGTCTTTTACTAAATTAGATACATGTTTACAGAAAGCCACCAGATGGCGTTCTCAGAACCAGACTTTAGCCACTTAGTGTCACATAGTACTATGAGCCAAGATTCATACTCCAAAACACTTGAATCAACAATCTAGTGACAAATGACGTTACAGAATGTGCAAGAAACCGTGTAGGAATTGCTCATTCACCTTTTTCCAGTCATAAAGCAATCAGTTGTGTTCATACTCGCTGTAAGTAGTCTACTATTCTACTTTCCAGGTTCTTAACTAGTCCTCTCAATTTCCTACTAAAGATCCAGTTCAATTCCAGATTTGCTCTACCTGAGGTCCTGAAACATCCCCTCACTATATCTGAGGGGTTCAGGTGCCGTCTAAAGTATCCAGAGTCCCAACTCCTCAGGAAAAAAAAAAGGTCTTTTTGCCAAGGAATTGTCTGAAGCTCTCTCATATCAAGGCAAAATTTGAGTGCCTCCTACTTCTACTAAATGAACATTCTAAAAGCCTCAGCTCCAGAAAGACTTGTCCTTCAGAGCTTAGTCCTTTCACAATGCCAAGCTCAGACTTCCACAATGTGAGTTTAGAGAAATTAAGTTTTCTTTCAACAGGCTGTAAATGTGATAAGTGTTAGACTGAGATGAGATTTTCAGTCTCAATGTGATCTGATTTGCCTATTCACAGTCTGGTCAATAACTTAGTTTAGGGGGAAAAAAAATCAATTGAGAGCTTACAAAGACCAAGATCATGGCCTCTACTTAGAACTTAACATTCTTTCAGGTTGACCAGCTCTAGCTCAGTCGGCCTTGAATTTGATGTTGCTGAGTATCTTACCATTCCAAAAAAATTGCTACTCTTTATCTTTAGGTACATTTTAAACACAGAGATAAAGCAGGAATATATTGTCACCCAAAACACACACAGACATGGATCACTGGCAATGCCATATTAAAATGAGCCAAAGGAACACAATGGAATACTACACACCAAAAAGAAAGAATAATCCACCATTATGCGTAGCAGTATGGGGGGATTTCACAATCTTAACGTTGAATGAAAGAAGCCAGCACAAAAGAGTATATACTGTATCATTTAATTTCTATAAAACATAAAAACAGGCAAAACTAATCTGGGTTTTTAGAAGTCAGAATAAAGGTTACTCATCAGTGGGTGAATAGTGATGGCAAAGGAGCACAAACAGGGCTATGAGGTGCTGGCAATGTTGTTTCTTGACTGGGTGTTGGTTCCATGGGTGTGCTCAAGTTTTGAAAATTCACTGAGCTACACATAAATAATAGTGATACATTCAGTCAATGGATTCTTCAAATAGCAGCAAAGTAAAAAAACAAAAACAAAAACAAAAACAAAAACCAACTTTATCAGTCATACACACTTTTCTGTATATTTATTGTATCTCAACAAAAAGTTGAAAGAAAAACTAGCCAAAGAAGCTGTAGCCAACAGCAACCTGGCTCATCTAAAACAATCTAATGATACTGGCTCTCTGGCCAAATTGCTAAATGGAGCCTCAACCACACTGTCTGAGAAGTGGCTTCTAGCCACAAATAGATACCATTCTGTGAATCTACATAGTTACTTCTTAGCTGCCCATGTTTTCTAATACATGATGACAGCAGGAAATTGTAGTCCACTCGGGAACACAGCACGGAATGACAGTCCCACATGTGTACAAGCTCCTGAATTAGGAGGAGGAAGAGGTTCTCCACTGTGACTATTCTGGGGCCTGGGCAGTCAGTTCTCAATACTACATGAATGAAGAAACAATGGATACCAGCTAGGTACAAATGAGCCAAAGAGTCAAGCTTGCTATTAAGTCTAACCCTTTAGCAGTAAACCCTTTAGTAAGTAAGAGTTTACTAAAAACAGGAAGGCTAGCTAAGTTTTATTTTCTCTGTTCTTCTATTTATCTTTTAGTGGAAGGTCTTGAAAAATAGATGAGATGAAAGGAAAATCAGGACATAATGCATGAAATTCAATAATTAGTCCCTAAATTACTGAGTGAACTCTGTTACCGTAACTACCATGATCCCTGGGTTGGGAGTGCAGAGGAACAGGCATAGGCTTTGGTGCTGGCAAAGCTATCACCTAATCCAAGGTCAGCCATCTTATCTTAGGCCCACTCTCCTATCCTGGCACTGGTAGGCTTATAACAAAGTAGAAAAAAAAAAAATATATATATATACATATATATAAAACCTGTTGCCGTTGAGTCGATTCCAATTCATAGTGACCCTATAGAACAGAGTAGAACTGCTCCACAGGGTTTTCAAGGAGCGCCTTGTGGATTCAAACTTTTGGTTAGCAGCCGTAGCTCTTAACCACTACGCCACCAGGGTTTCCATATATATATACATACGTATATATATACGCATGTAGGGTTTCCATATATATATACATACATATATATATACGCATGTATATATATTAAAAAGCATAAAACTAATATTTAACATTCATAAACAGAATGGCAAAAATTTCAGTCTGATGACATAAAGTGTTCTTTAGGATATGGGAAAATAAGAACTCAAAGACGCTGCTTGAGGAAGTGTAAGCCGAATCAATCACTAAAACAATCTGGCAGTTATCTATCAGCTCTGTGAGAGATCTACTTCCATAAAGAATACAGCCTAGGAAGCCCTATGAGGCAGTTCTACTCTGTCATACGGGGCCGCTCTGAGTAAAAATCAACTCAACGGCACCTAACAACAGTTTTCTAAAGACATACATATCATACAACACAGTGACTCTACTGTGTACAAGACATACAGACCCTAGAGAAACTGTGTATAAGAAGATATGTAAAAGAATGCTCATAGTAGCACTGTTCCATTAACAGGAAATAGATAAATAGTGGTACATTCATTCAATGGACTCTTCAAATAACAGCAAAAGTTAAAAAAATTATCAGAGACACATTCACCAATATGGATAACTCTTACAAACATAATGTTGAATGAAAAAACACAAATGGCAGGAATTACAACAATAAAATACCATTTTTATAAAAATTTAAAACATACAAAACTGTATTTGTAATGTTTCTTTAAGCAGGATGATAGAGAATAATTTAGCAAATGCTGTGTACTGATCTCTTTGTATGACAAATATTTCATAATAAATCTGTAAAATTTTTAAGTATTTAATATCTGGAGCCCTGGTGGCACAGTGGTTAAGAGCTTGGCTGCTAACCAAAAGGCGGGTAGTTCGAATCCGCCAGCCGCTCCTTGGAAACCCTATGGGGCAGTTCTACTCTGTCCTGTAGGGTCGCTATGAGTCGCAATGGACTCCACCGCAAAGGGTTTGGTTTTGGTTAATATCTGGCATACAGCAGAAAATGAACAGCAGCTACTGTTGTTTTGATCTTAATTGTAAGAGGGGCTCATGGCTTCTGAGTATATCATTACACAAAAAAAGGGAAAAAATAGTTACTGTAGCTTTAAAGGGGCAAAAAGCTCAGTAAATGATCCACATGACTTTTCCTACCTAATAATCCATGTGTGGAGAACAACATGAATATGGCTAGGATAACAAATACCATTTTAGTTTCTAGACATATACTGTCCTAATTTAGTGCTAATTCAGTTGGGTCATTTATATCAAATTAAAATGCTGCTGCCAAAATCCTGAATCCTACCTTTCTGGCTCTATCGCTGTTAGCGAGAACTCCAGCAGCGGACTGAGGAAATCAGCTGACCCACTATGACCTTCTCACTCTGGGCCTGCTGGGAGATAGCACTGGCTCGGCAGCCGGGAGATTCAGGGATTCTTGTACTGACTCCATCACGTATTAATTAAGCAACCTTGGAAAACTCTCCAAATATCTCCAAGGAATCATTTATTTTATCTGTAAAATAGGGATAACACAGCCCAGTGGTTAAGAGCATGGGCTCAATCCCTGACTCCTCCATTTCCTAACTGTGAGATGCAGGCAAGTTTCTACGGTGTCTAAACCCATTTACTTACATGTAAATAAAAATAATAAAAAGAACCCACCTCACAGGATTGTTGAAAGGATTAAATGAATAATCCGCGTTAAGGCTCAGCATAGCGACTGCCAGACAATAATTATTAAATTATTGGCTTAAGCTGTTGTAAAGCTTAAGAAAAGTGATAATGGAGGTGAA